GGGGGGGGGGCGCGGTGCGCGGTGAATCTGGGGTTGGTATTCCACAGCTCGCCAAGCTTCAAGATTCCAGACCGCTTCATGACCCCACATAGACACATAGACTTCAACCCATAACACACTACCTTCGAGACAGATGGGTCTGAACGCAAAGAGACTCTATTCCCCGCTCTTTCCTTAGCAACTCCAAGCTGTCGCTTCCACAAGACCATGGCTGCGACTGTTCTGAGCGCGAGAGCCCCTTCCACCCATCTCCGTAAGGTTTAAGGGAGGGATTTCAGGCAAGGGTGAGGGCTGCAAATGGTTAGAACGCCAGTAGAGTGTAGCTTCAAAATCGTCCATAGACTAGCGCAACCGAATTTGATCGATAATAACTCGACAGAATGGCAAGTAAGATGGGGGAATCTACCTACTGTAGTCGAGTGGGCCGGCCGGGGGTGTATTGGAATTGAAATCACGTGGTTATAGTTTGAAGCTACCGTCGCCTATCTGTCAACTAGAGGACATGTCCAATAGCCGTAGGATAGGGTTCATCCGCTCTCTGACTTTATGTGAAAACGACAACATATCGAACAAGGAGCAGAATGTGCTTTCTATACAAGATCCTGTGCTGAACAGGTATGGCATACGTGTTGCACATGAACAGGGGTCGCGTTCAGAATGGTTAGCGTCCCTTCCCCTCGCTCGCCATCGCTGTTTACTATTTAGTGTAATACTGAGTACAGTCATGAACAAGAGCACTCATCATGCCTTGCATTTGTCAGGAGAATTCGGGGTCCTCTTCTGCCTTCTTGCATATCTTCAAGAATTCGTCTGTCTCCACCGCCGTGTCCGGGTCCTGGCCGAAGAGCCGGACGATGTTGGCACTGGACACCGGATGGGTGACCTGGTTGTATATGCGGCGTCTGGCTTCATCGTACTTGTCCAAGATGCTGTCGTCGGCCTTGCCATGGTAGATGCCAATTAGGCAATCATACAGACTGCCAATATCCGCGATGCCTCCGGTCAGACCCATGCCTCCGAATGGATTGCACACTGTTTGGATGAAGTTAGTCAGTCTGCTCTCTGTCTCTCTGTGACGGTCACAGGGGCAGCTTTGTCTCGGACTTACGATGGGCAGCGTCCGCGGCCACCAAGATTCGGCCGACCCGCATCCGCTCGGCCAGTCGCTGGTGAACCCGGTTTGGGCTGATGTTGAGAATCTCGTACGCTTTGGATTCTGGGGTGGGGTGCCCTGGAAGGAAGGTCTGAAATTTCATGGGCTGTCGGCATCCTGGGTGACATTGAGGACTTTGGTGTTGTAGGCGATGCGCATACATGGTACCGCGTCGTTGTGCTCCAATAGGAGCTCACCAAGCTTGTCCAGGGGCAGGCATATCATCAGGTCTGGGTCGTCCTTAGGAAAGACATCGTTGCTCAGGCCAGCCAGCACGGTGCCGTCCAGCTTCCTCCAGCAGACGCCATCTGGCACGAACCCCCTGCGAAGAGCATCATCCGCCACACACGCACGCCGGAGTTCCCGCACCGCCGGCGAGGCATAATGAGTCGCTCGAGGCCGGCTGTCAATGGTCTCACCTAGCTCCAACACCAGCACCGGCACGCCTTGTTTGCCTAGCATCAATGCGAGTAGCAGACCGGATGATCCTGCACCGACAATGATCACCCAGGGCTTGGTAGTGGCCATTTCATCGTGGTGTGTATTAAAGGTTCCGTGGTGAGTGGGCAAATACAGTGGGGGAAAGACTGTAGAATACCTCCAGCCAGGCTCAAGACTTTGACAGATAATGGCTATAGGCCCCTCCTTGAACTAGAAAAGTCTTTTCCCGCCCTCGGTAGTGAACAAGATCTCTGAACAAGATCTCTAGCTCAAAGAGGACCTACATGGAAGGGACATAAAGGGGTCCTTTTCACGTAAGTGATCAGCAGTGGTAAGATCTTTTCTACTACAGTGTTTGTTAGCGGCTGGGAGACTAGAAAGTTCGTCCAACAGTTAGCGACTAGATTTAGAGACAAGAGCGTGACCAGTCAAGGTGTTAACCCGCTGTTAACCATCGATAGAGAATGGCTTCGAACTTCAAGGGATACATGGTGCATTAGTTTCTTTCTACTGTAAGGTAGGCGTGAGGAGTGGGCGGAGAATGGCAAGCTCAAAGGTGGGGGAACTTCACATTAACTTCGTGTGGGGACGAGTGGGAAACTTCCAGGCTTCGCCCTTTCTGCGTGCTATCGGAAGTGTCCGGTAGAGCACTTACGAGTTGACTACCCCACAAGGGGCAGACATCTTCACTAGTATCTCTAACAGGCAGCGAGTTCGACGACTGGTGAGTGGTAGCCGACCCCTAGGCATCTTGGGCCCATTTATAGTCGACGTTCACATTTTGTCGCTCCGAAAGCATTGATCGATTAACTCGCTCCTGTTAGATTTTACCCTGCCCCAGAAGAAGAACATCCCTTTAAGCAACCATGACCAACAAAGCTCAAACTCGGTTTCTAGGTGACAAGCACGACTGCTACTTCGCGACGGACCCTCGTGTAAACAAGGAACTTGCGGCGTCGCTCCAAGGCAAAAATATTGTCTGCGCCGGTGCCGGACGAGGTGTTGGTCGGGCTTGCGCTGAGTTCCTGACCTACGCCTCGGCCAAGTCGATCAGCCTGGTGGCCCTGGAGCTGGAGGAAGTCGAGGAGACGGCCAAGTTGTGCAAGGACATCAAACCCGAAATTAAGACTAAGGTAGCCGGCTTCGACGTCAAAGACAGCGATGCTGTAAATAAGTTCATTAAGGAAGTCGACCAAGAGTTCGGCAGTGTCGACGTAGTGCTGATGAACGCCGGCCGGCCGCCCCAGTGGCTGCACACCGTCGAATGTGACCCGGATATCTGGTGGGATACGGTTGCTGTCTCTCTGCAGGGCGCGTTCAACTTCGCCCGCTTTGCCCTGCCCATCATGCAGCGGCAGAAGAGTGGCGTCATCATCTTCACCTCGAGCGCCGGGGCTCACAGCAACATCCGCCTAGGCAGCTACACCATGGGCAAGCTAGGCATGATTCGGCTAGCGGAGATCCTGCACCATGAGAACTTCAAAGATTACAACATCAAGGCCTTTGCGTACAACCCGGGCCGCGTGGAGACGCGGTTTTTCACCGACTTCCGGGACAAGGTCCAAGGTAAATCTAATCCCGGGAGCTACGTGATCGAGGGCGTGCCCAACGAAGACAAGTCGGCAGAGACGGTTGTCAAGGCCTTTGACGGCGTCACCTGGGACACCCCTCAGATGGCGGCCGGCCTGGTGACGGTATTGGCCAGTGGTAAGCTCGACTTCATGTCTGGACGATACCTCGATGCCTCACGAGATATCGAGAAATACATCGAGGATGAAAAGACTATCCGGGCCAATGACCTACACCGGGTGCGCCTTCATGTTGCGGATGATTGGTTCGTTCCGACGTTGGATTTTTAAAACATACCAGTATGAGTCAAGACGTTTAGGGGAGCGTGGATCGTCAAGTTCTTTCACGCAGCTGACGCTCGTATTTTGGTGGGGCCACTAGTTTCATCACCAGATATAGCCTCTATTTACAATATTAGGAAAAGCTCAAACGACCTTTTTAGCTGACAGCTTAGTACTTGATCATTAAGTTTCCAAGGATATTGCATTCTCTCGTAGATTTTCCCTCACATACACTCTCACTCATTGCTGTATGAAAGATTCAGCTAGATCTCACTAGATGATATGGGATCAATCAACGCCTGGACGGTACAGACTGATCCCGTTTCGTCTCTATACTACCATCGATGAACCATGGACACTTCTCAGGGCAGTATGAGTGATTGAAACGTAGGGCGGTGCCAGCTAGATAGCATCTGTGCACGAACCACTGGAGCTGGGCTGTTGGGAGAGCAGAGCTCATAGAGCAGTGAAGACTTTATAGCGGCGTTAAAGGATCTAGTCGCCAGCCTGTACTGAGCAAATATGAAACTTCACGAGGAATTCATCTATTTCCCGCCAATGAAAGTCGTTGTCGTGATTCGATGTCATTTCTTTCCCTATATTTCTCGCTCTACTAATCGACGCCACAATGTTGGAGCGCAAAAACAGGCTACCAAATATTGACACTGGCTCTTCTGGAAAGCTTCAGAACGAAAAGAAATACATTTACTCAGGCTTTTCGAAACCCATGAGGGACACGTCCGTTCCCGAGGTTGAACAATAGACAAATTCACACGGTATGGGACCGTCATCTTGTCTCCACTTTTGATACTACTTTCACCTGCAGTAGCATCGTTCGTCATTTGATGTGAGCAGACCTTTGCTATTTCACACACTCAGGTGCTCCTTCAACCATCTATGAATTACCTCACCAGTTTCGTTGGATAGGCCCATGCCCGGAGCCATCACCGGGGCGGTATGGATTTCGTTTCGTCCAATGACAAATAAGAACCTGCCTGGGTTTGAGGCCTGAGCCGAAACCACAGAGCTTGTCAGAAGAACATTCTAATGTTTGATCAAGGAGGGAAATGCAACACGAAATTAGGCACTGCTGAAGGTCCTGACTGACTGACTGACCTTGAACCTGTCCGCCCACTCACTGATCGAATCGACCAAGACCTCATCAGCGCCGGCGGTGGCAATCACATAACTGACTTTGACCCCCGACCACCAGTTCGAGGGGGTGTTGAAAGCCTCGGCATAGTAGTCAGACTTCACGCCGGCCAGGTAGTCGATTCCCCACCGTGTGCTGTTCGATGCGGTGAGGAAATCCTTGTACTGGTTTTGCTTGGTGGAGGCCTGGCGCGGTGAGAATTGTATCCATGGAGAGATCAGAACAGCCGCTTTGAAAGGAGCAGAGAGTTGTAGGGGTGGCAGTCGAGGACTCGGATGCGCCGTGTGAGATAGGATCCCCAGGCAGAGATTGGCGCCGGCCGAATCGCCCATCAGTACGATCTCGGAGGGTGCGCGTCCACTTGACAGGACGTGGTTGACTGCCTCGATCGCCTCAATGAGCTGCGTCGGGTAGGTGGCATATGGGACCATGGTGTACTCGAGGAAGAAGAAAGCCGAGGAAATGTTGTCTTTAGCCAGTTCTTCCATGACCGCTCTGCCGTACTCGAAATGCATCACATCTCCATCGAAGGAGAATCCACCGGCTACAAAGCGTTAGTCCTCACGAGCGTCGACAAGGAAAGAAAGGAGGACAAAGAAAAGATTTCTCTCACCGTGGAAGAAAATGAAGACGTAATCCGCCTTGACATGGTCACCGATCCAGAGACCCTTACAACCAGAAGGCAAGGTCACGATAGCAGGGTCCGCTTTGTTCGTCTTACACCACTCTTGGTATGTCTGGCTGAAAGGCTTCCCGATCGACCTGTGTGCTCAATTAATGGATTGGGTCCCAAGGGTGTACTATAGCCGTTGAGAGACTACGTACTGCATCTGGTTCCTGCTCAACCTCGTCGTCAGCTACGCATCACTGTCTGTTAGCCTAAGATAATTCCCCTGCATGGAGATTATAGTGGAAAATGGGCCCCAACAGCCACCTACTTTGCGGACAAGGGCAGTGATCAACCATTGTTTGTAGCTTTGTGGTCCTGATCCACCTCTGAAAGGTCCCGTCAGGCCGGCCCACAAGACTACGCCAACTGAGAAAGCTGTCAGTGATCCTGTTTGATGCAGCATACTGGGACCTCCTCGGATACATAACATACTCACAGAAAAAGCGACCGCAACAAGGTCGAGCTTCTCCAGCAATGTGGTCTGAATCTGAGGCATCCTGTCCGGGCTCCTGCAAGATACGAGGCTCCCAATTGGAAAAATCTAGAAAGCGGATAAAAAATCTCTCGGAGCAGGGAAAAGCGCAACCCCAGAGCAGCGGAAAATCGAGTTAAAGAAGCGCCCGAGGATGCCAACCTTCAGTGAATGGTTTGGTCGCAGCTAACAAGGGGAACTCCGTTCGGGTGGAGAAGAAAAGGAGCTGGTAGGAGCCTGTGGAAAAAAGGTCACGGTAAATCCAGTCTGCTACCCCACATGTTTTGGGCTTTGAATTACGAGGACATCGGATCATCTGCTGCTTTGTAGCAGCACCATCATTTATAGAAAGTGGCTGAGAGTCAGGTCTCGTAAAGATTCAGATCAATCAAAGGCCCCGCCTAGAGACCGAATCCAGAGTGCACACATACAGGTCAATCACAGCTTCTACTAGACCATTTCGAATCCGAGCTATCTCATGTGTTTACATTGAAAAGGAGCCCGTGGATTTTCATGAGCCACGAACCGCGTTTCTCTTTCCGTCACCTCACCCCCTTGAACAGCATATTGTCCTCGGCAAAGAGGTAAATCAAAGGCAGAGTTAATCAGAGGGCTGTTCTATCTTCCTTCCAGGGCGCACGCTCAAGCGGACGTTCATTTTCGACGTGTGGGCAAACCAAAAGGTGAAGACATGCCAGGGATGCTCCTTATCCACCAACTCAAAGTCGAAGTTGTAGAGGAGCTGCGCAACGAGCTTGTGAATTTCGACCTAAAAAAGGGGATTTTGTACGTCAGCCTCACGACGCGCCACCGTGGGAAAGAATCAGTCGTCCGAAGTGGTTGTGGGTGGACTTACCAGTGCAATGTTTTTGCCCACACACGTCCGAGGGCCATTTCCACCGAAGGTCATGTTGTATCTCTCATATGTGGCGACAATCTCGTCCGATTGTAACCACCGCTCTGGCCGAAATTCGTTGGCATCCGGCCCGTACACGGCCTGGTCCCTGTTCTGAGCCATCGGACTAATCCCAATGTCGTAGCCGGCAGGAATGTATTTCTTGTCGATGACGATCCCGGGCGAGATGCGCAGGAGCTGATACATAATGGATGGGAAGAGCCTCAGCGACTCCATCACCACCGCCTTCAGAAAGGGGATCTGCTGGGTTTGATGGTAGGTGATCGGGGCGCTTAAGTTTTCGGACTCGTAGAACTTGTTGACGTCTGCCTGAAGGCGGTTGTAGGCGTCGGGATGCATCCCGAGGTAGTACAGGCAAGCAGACATGCCGACGGACGTGGTATCGGCACCCGCTCCACTGGAAAAATGTAAAGTCAGTCCGGGACGAGCGAATCTCAACTTGCTCCTCGAGTGCAAAACCAATCCAAACTTACATGATGTTCATGGCTTCCACCAGGACCTCTCCCTGGTCGGCGAGACCTGTTCCATCCAACGACTTCATCCTCACAAAATGAGCCAGCATGTCTTCGCGACCGACCTCGTCTTTGCCCTGCTTGCGGGCGTTGACTCGACCTTCGGCATACCTCTGCATCTCCACCAATGGATTTTTGCCCCCCAGCATGGTGGCCATGCTTTGAATCAGGGAATTGTTGATGGGAAACAGTTGACCCCAGAAGTGGCCGCTGTTGGCCATCAAGTAAAAGGCCTTCGCGATGGAGCCACGCATGTTGAAGACGTCCTTACCGGTCTTCAGATGGCCGAATTTCTTCCCATAGGCGATTTCCCCCACGATGTCGAAGGCTAGAGCGGTAAGCCACTCGGCCAGGTCCTCAACTCGGCCCTCGTCGGCAAAAGTCTTGAACTTCCACATGCATAGGTCCAAGCAGGACTGAATGTACTGCTCGTATCGCAAGATAGCCGACATCGAGTACGCAGCGCTGACTCTCTTGCGAAGCTTGCCGTGTAAATGGGGGTTGGTCACGGCAAAGAACGCAGGTCCGGCCCCGGGGATGGTCCAGACATCGTACCAGGAAGTCTTGATCGCGCTGGTGCCGTGGCCGTACAGCTGCTTCAGGGCGGCGGCGTCCACTACCGACACTTCGTTGGGAGCAATGCGCACTACACGCCCGTAGCGTCGGTGAAGGTCGAGAATGTCCTTGTGCCATGTGCCGGCGAAATAGTGGTAGTTTCTCCAGTTCCCAGTCACGGCGGCCAGGGTTGGTCCCGGGATTCTGGCAAGTGGGTGAAAGACTGCACGATAGACGAAGACGGCGAGCAAGAAGACCACCGGGATCAACAGGTAGATCTGGCGGGGGCAAACGTGTGGCCATTCAGCCACATCCATCCGCGCCTTCAGCTGGTCAGAGAATGAAAGCCCTGCCATTTCCGGCTCTTGAAGTGACTCACGAAGATGATGCTAGAGGTTATTCGTAGAGGAAGTTACTTCGCTGCTGGATATACTTTAGTCGTCCGATGGCATTATTTCAAGGCACCCCAGAGCCCACCTCCCTTCTCCTTTTTCCCCACTAGGCTGCCTCTGCCCTCCCCCGCCCGTCCAAGGAGGTAAAGTCTGGAAGGCCTCTATGCCTCCACACGAGGGTCACCCCGGATCTCCTGAGTACTTTACCGCTCACCTCCGTGCTTGGGGGAGGGTAAGGCTTACCCTTACAATCTGCCGAAATGTCGTTCACCGAGGTCTTGTGCGAAGTGCTCCTGCTCCAAGCCAAAGAGGGCCAAAAAGATCTTACCGCGACTTCAATGACCAAGTTCTGCGACTTCGCAAGCCACTTTCCCAAGACGGAAACGTCAGAGGGCTCTGCTTTGGCACAGAAGATCTTCCCGATCGTCCGCGAGGATTCTCAGGAGGTCTACGTGTTTGTCGTCTGGCGCTCTCGCGGCCACCATGATGGACTGGTGACCGCGCCAGGATTCGAGCCTAGCATGCAGATGTTGATCAACGAGGTGTTCCCAACGTTGGCCCAACCGGCGGCAGCATTCTACGTCAAATGCGATAGAGTGGGCCCGGACTTTCTGACTGCTGGCCGGCTGCACCGTAAGTGGACAACTTTGGCGCGAAGAGAAAAAGAAACCAAACAAAAACCATACCCTCGTCCTGCTCTAACATCGCGTTGTGAACAGTCATCGAAGTCCAACTGAATGGGCACGACAGCCCCGAGGAAGTCGGCAACCCCCTGGAGCGCGTTTTGTCTGCGTACCGGGACAAACTGGGGTGTCATCCTGTTCTCTTCGGCCTCCAGGACGACGATTCGAGACATGCCGTTGTGGTGCTCAAATGGTCAGCAAACTGTGAGGAGGTAGGGTTGGACAAGGACCTGTACGACCGGATGCTGTCCGAGATGAAAGCACAGGGCGAGATCCTTCGAGATGTTCACATTTCGGAGCACTGAGTCGGTTTAGTGGCCGCATGTGGTTTAAAACGCGTAGAACGAGCACACAGCTTTGGCAGGACATGGAATGATACTACTACACCTTCCGAGCCAGCAGCACGGCATATCCAAATGGAATATAGATTCGATTACTGTAAGTACTAGCAATGGAGTCACGGAAGATGGCATAATTGTGTTCATTGTCTGTACATTGAACATGTTCAAATCCATAGGGGATGCTGCAATTCAAATCTCGAATGACTGGAAACGCCTTTCTTGTCTTTGAACTTTTGTCGAGTGCCGTGACAAAGGATATTTTGCAGTTGACTTACCCCACATAGTGGTTACTTACCGCGGGTCGCGGGAAAACACAGTTTCCGCAGTATCCGAAGGTTAGAGAGAGATCATAGTCATCCGGAACTTCCAGAATTAAAGCGTACGGCAATCCCAAAAACTTCAATACTCTGAAAGTTGAGTGTCCCGGGTAGTGAACATGTCCTTTCTCCAGAATCTGTTGAAAGCTTTGCAAGACAATGTTACGAGACTGGAACATGAAGTCGAACAACATCATCTGGGGACGCCTCAAATCTGGGATGCGGGAGCGTCTTCAGCATTCGACAACCCAGAGCATCTAATACCTTGGACGGCATTCGAGGCCATTGAAAAGATCCGTGTCGATCTACGTGCTCTGGAGGCTGCAGTCACCCCAAGTCACGTCAAGCTGCTCGAACTGGGACTGCGGCCGGCGAGGACCAGTGCGCTCAACGTGGCTGTCTCACTAGGCATTACGGATGCGATAGAAGAGCTAGGGGGAAGTGCCAGCCTCGACAAGCTGGCTGAAAGACTGTCCGTGAACGAGCACAAACTCGGTGAGTGAGTCCACCGTCGGACTTAAAATCGGGGTCGCTCAATCTACTGTCTAGGCCGAGTCATTCGTACCCTCGCAACCGATTTCATTTACCAGGAGACATCGCCAGACATGTTCAAGAATACGAAGCACAGCAAGAATCTAAATAAATCCGGCAGCTCGGCTCGGTTCCTCTCTTTGTTGTAAGCATATCAACTCCGCTGATAGACTAGGTGATAGAATCTCTGATTGATGAGAAAAACGATAGATCACATGAATCCCTTATGAGCTCAGCAGGGCTTTTGAAGGACATGATGGAGCCGTCCACCAAAGATTCCTTCTCAGAAAACACGGCGCCATTTTGTTTCACCGTCGCAGAGCACGGAGAGACTTTTTTCGAGTATATGGGCCAGCCGGAGCATTCAGATATGGCGATGAAAGTCATCAACGGTGTGCTTCCGTGGTTGAATGTAGGACTCGAACCCAAGACACAGACACACTCACACGTATAAACTGTGTCTTTCTTTTAGTCCAGCTTATCTGACGACGTTGCAGAGAACGACTCGACCGGCGCTTCTAAACGACTACCCTTGGGACGAGAGACCCGATGCGCATGTCATTGACGTCGGCTGTGGCCCAGGAGACAGTGGCTTTGACGTAATAAGAAAGAACCCAAAATTACGATGGACTTTTCAGGACCTGCTGCCTGTGGTTGAGAACTTGAAAAAAGTGAGATTGGCCAACACCCAAGAATTATGTCCTCTTCCAACGTTGATTGTTAATAGTCATTCCCTGCCGATTTAGCGCCAAAGCTTGCCGACGGAACAATCCAGTGCGTCGCGCAGGACTACTTTGAAGAAAATGTGAGCGCGGGAGATATCTGGTACCTCCGAGGTGTCTTGTGAGTAGCGCCTGGCCATCTCTCTCCTTGGGTTAAACTATCTAACTACTCCCTAGACGGGAATACGACGATGATCGAATGCTCGGCCGAGTAATCACACCCGCTCTCAATAGGCAACTCCGTCCGGTCCGCGGATGTTGTTTAGCTCCTGCTGAGCATCTCGAGCTCTTCACTGAGGTGCACAACAAGCTCTCCGGTCGGAACTTTTGCGTAACGGAAGGCGGGTACATTGGATGGGTGTCACTTTATGCTAAGAAAGGTGACAGAATCTGTGCATTCCGTCAATGTCCTTTCCCATTCGCGGTCTGTGAGTGTGGAATTCGTCACAACGAGCAATATGTGCTTCGTGGAGATGTGTATCTTCATGGTTTAATGAGCGGAGATCTATTCGATAAGGCCAGGGCTAATGTGGAGGATATAAAACTTGTTTGAGATAGGTTAATCCGAGATAATGGGATGCATCTTCGCTTCAGCAAAAGCCAATTATCGCTTAGCTCAGCGAAGAGGCCAACTACACCAGACAGTAACCGCCTAAACTAGGAAACTGTTGAGTGGTTACAACTGTTGAAGAATTTGATTGCAACAGATTCAGCAGAGTAAAGTCGGCACAAAGCCAGGTTACTTAGATAGGAAATCCGAGAGCTGTTGCGCAACAGAAGCCAAGCGACCCGAGCAATGTATCATCATCATCGACAGTCTCAACTGTGCCCATCAGCTCCTAAAGTTACTCGCGCCACAAATCTTTCCTGTATCCTTCCTATCCTCTGGCATAGTCAATCTAGACAAGATTTCGGCGTTCCTCGAACGGGACGCTTACAATCAGGAGAGACGTGAGTTCAGCAAGGAGTAGATTGCCTGGTCCACGAACCATGACGAATGCAAGGCTGAGTCAAGTATATGTCCCATGCCCGCCGCCGCCGAAAGTCCTGAACAAGCCCGTGCTCAAGGACTATACTGCGAGTGATCAGGATGCATGCAATCTCTCCGAGTTGTAGGTGTATCCTCGCGTTGAGGACCCTCAGGAGGAATTTAGAGCTAGTCCCTCCTTTACAGAATGAGGCCGGTTGGGCGAAAACGCAAGCATCGATTCTGGATGAACCGGATCGGATGCCTTTGATCAAGGCTTATTTTGAGCACGGCCAAAACAGCCTACAAATAAATTGCAGGGGTTCGCTGGTGGTAGGGACGATGAGAAGAGGCAGTAGCCTATGTTGTTACGAGGCAATTGCATCATATGTACCTCACCAAGTCATTTTCATGGTTGGTGGTTGTGGCAGGGTAGCGGACAAGTCCCTGGACGCATGAGCACCCGCGAAACGCGACGAGAGCCGACCGTTGCCAACAATTGACCTCGAAGAGGCCGAAAAGGTCAATCATCTCCAAATCACCCAATACAGCCTCCTCTCACGGAGTGCGCCTGAACCTGAGGCTCCTCTGCGATCAAAGTCAGACAATGTCCAGTCAACAAGATCTAAAACGGTTCGAGTAAGGAGCGGCTGTCTTACCTGTCGCGCACGTCATATAAAATACGATGAAGGATTGCCGACTTGCCAGAAGTGCGAAAAGCCTCATCGAAAATGTGAGCGCGGCATCAACCTGGGGTTTCTCGATCCTCAATGCCCGAGCCCATCACATCTAGATCATCGAGCATCCAACTGGAAAGTGACATTTTCAGATGAATCTCGCGACGTCGTCTCTCAATATGAAGGACGAGGCGGTCCCGGACCTGGAAGCGACCAACACCAGAATTAGTGCTGCCCCGTTACCTTTCGTCGGTTTATTGGTATGGCCAACAAAGATGACTTCGCGATTTTGGTGTTCGAGCTGCTTGGGCCGAGCTTAAAAGATTTAGTCCAATATTGTGGTAACTGATTCTCATTGACTCATCCCGACCGGTGGAGCTCAAGCAGTGCCCCTACTCCTCATATGACAGCACGTCCTCCTAAAGTATTGGATTTGTGTAGATATGCGAGCATCAACGGGCATTTGGGGTGACGCTTCAACCGTCTAAACACGCAAGAAGGTCGGCTGGCTTGTTCTCGCAGCACAATCCCAGTGCGATGACTTGGAGGTATTTGGCTACATGCTGGGGTGTTTTATCCGTGGAAGACTGCCCTGGCAAAGCCTCAAGGCGAAGCTGGCCCAAATATCAGCTTGTTTTCGAGATGAAGTGGGCGGCCGGTGTGAATAAACTTCACGCTGGTCTACCAACCGTGTTCTCCGTTTACATGAATTAAGTGCACAACTTGCGCGACGAAGATCGGGTGGACTATCGATACCTCCGGAAGATATTCAACGATGTTTTCGACCAGCAAGTGTTCGAATATGACAACGCCTTTGACTGGATGATTCGGGAATTCCAGAGGCTGGAGCCTGACGCGTAAGAGCGGCTTACATCGAAAAGAGGGGCCCATCGAGGATTCTTAGTGTCGCTTCATTCCGGGCTCCACGGCGAGTTTCATGGGTATACGGTCGACGAGTTGGCTGCTGGCGCAAATTGGCGCACTCTGCCCACACGCCTTTCCGTATTCAGGACAGGTTAAATCAACCTCGCCGTTATATACGTCTCCATCTCGAGTGTATATCTTCATCGTAGATATCCCTCGCCGTCATCACCCTGTAGGACATGAAGAAAGTGCTGTTCTCTTTCCTTCTAATTATCGGACCCGTCGCTCCCAGAGCCATTCACCATTGCTATGGTCGTTTTCTCCTTCTTCCGCCGAATTGACCACCACCATGCGGAGCTCAGCGGGCTTGCGACGCGCCGGCTATTCTACGGGTCCCCGAATATTTTTTAGGCAGGGATGCAATGTGTTCCATCGTTATGTCAACGGGGGCAACAGGGAGCGCGAGGAGATAGGTGAAGACAGCAAAAAAGGAACAGATGAGGACGCCGAGGACGATGTAGCGTTGTTGAAGAATGCATAAAGACAGATGAGATGCTCACCCCCCGCCCGGGTTGCACCCCTCTAACAGTTTAGGGAACTCTCCCGCGGAAGGGAGGACGCGTTAGAATGCGGTATGCTACGAGGTGTTTCTTGATTGACAGGGTTGATTATTCGTTGGTAGAACCAACCTAACTGGAGCTTGTCTTGGGCGTTCGAGAAAGAGACCCTTATGGCGAGATTTGCTGTGTTGACCTTCCTGTCTATATTGCCCCTTGGTCTCTATCTCGCAGGCTCCTCAACGGATTTTATGATTGAACCCACGTCTCTCCAAGCCAGACACTCGATCTGCTCTAAGAGAATCAACCCGGGCAATTGCATATCTGTCAAGACCACTCATTTTCTTTTGCGGAAATACAAATCACACTTGCCATTTTTGGGCCGAATAGTGAAGAATTCAACGTGGGACATGGCTTCGGGCGTGGTCTGGGGCGCGCAGACGGCCTCGTACATGCGGAAAATATGGCCTAGGTGAATTCGGAGCTGCATGTTTCCAAGGCTGTGGGTTGTGTCAGCTTCTCCAACCGTGTGATTGCACCAAAGACAAACACTTACTTCAAACCAATGCAAGAGCGCGGTCCAGCAGAAAAGGGGAGGAAATTCAGTTTCATCTCGGCCGAAGGATTGAACCATCGCTCGGGCCAGAATCTGAAAGGGTCGGGGTAGACGCTGGGATCCCGGTGGTTTGTATAAGCCTGCATACCAACGATGGTGCCCTCTGGTATGAAGGTGCCTTCGATAGACAGGCCACCCTCGGGAGCGAGTCGCTCCAAGTATGACGGAATGGGAGCATGGATTCGCAGCGCTTCCCGGCAGGCGCCGTCGAGGAACGGTAGTTGAGATAGTTTTGCAAACGTCAACGGCTCCGAGTCATCAGGGAAAGCCTCCAAAAGCTCGTCGTAGAGCTTTTGCTGGACATCTGGCCGGGTTGCGAGTTCGTAAGATGCGAACATGGCGGTATTGGCCGTGGTATCCGAGCCTGCATTGCTGAAGAAAGACAGCCACTGTTAACTTGTCCAAGTTCGAGGCGTCGGATGCTCGAGAGTTCAACTTACAGGATTTCCATCATCTCTGCGATGATTTCCTCCGGTGACAGCGCCTCCTTCGGATTCTTCACGGCAGCCTCCTCTAGGCGAGCGAGAATGTCGACTCTGGGTCGATGGTCCTTTTCTGCTCGAGACCAGCCATCCCGTGCCCGAATGGCATACTATCCAGGTTTTGTCAGCGAAGAGGCGACACCACTTTCCACTGTGTTACCCACCTTAGCGATTTCGTCATCAGCATTGATCCAGTTTCTTGCGGTCTCCGGGTTCAAAATCTTCAGGAGTGGAATTATGAACGGGAAAGGTCCGGCCTGGTTCCGCAACATCAGCCAAAAAAAATCCCGGTCTGGACGGTCCAAATAGTCTCACTAGACCATTCCGTTTGTTTCTGTACTCGACGTGCCGGATGAAGTTGTCGTCTTCTTGAACCAGCATGCCAATCTGCTGGCCAAAAGCAATATCGGCCACGACGTCGAATGTCAAGTACCGAAACCACTTGAAGCAATCAACGTACTCTCTCGTGTGATCAAATTTCTCCAGCCATTTGAGGAACCTCTCCAAGTGGAATCTAATGACGGGCTCCATTTCCATCAAATTCTGGTGCGAAAATGCTGGCAACAGGCCCTTCCGACGGGTGTGAGCTGACTTAACGTCGCGCAGACCGATGCACATTTTCACGTCGTGATACTTAAACCCCTCGTACGCAGATGATTTGATGGCCTTGTTGCTGTAGATGGCTTTCACTCCTTCGCTTGAGGCCACACAGACTTTGTTGGGGGCAATGCGAATGACAGGTCCATAGTGCTTATGCTGTTCGATGATCCAACCAACTCGCGTGCCGGTGAAAGACTGAACAAACAGAGGCAGACGAGAGATTCTCGCCAGCCACGGGCCAGGAATGTGTCTCAGAGGATTCCTCAAGTATTGAACAATCTGGAGCACGAGCAAACCTATGCTAAGCCCGACGATACCGATAAGGTAAGGGTGATCGCTAAGATGCGGCTGTAATTTTGCTGTCGACAGCATCTTTGAGACTGAATGACCCTCACCTTTTCGGTTTGTTTGCACAGTAGTCTTAGGCTCATGGACGAGGAGAAATCGCTGAAATACCCAAGCAATGATCTTCTGCGCAACGCAACCGTCGCGTCTTACAAAAGGCCGAGAAGCCACGGATACCATAATTGCAGACAGAGGACTTCACCGGAACTCTGCAGCAGCCTCGCCCCACCGGCTATCTCGGGTTCAATCTTCCGGCCTCGATGGCATCCCAAGTAGCTCCGCCCTACAGCTCGAAGACGAGGAGACATCAGAGGTCTTATCGGAAATCATGCAGGAGGCAGAGTGCCATTATATACCCGGCGAGCGGATCGCGAGATGGAGGATCAGCAATGTTGATGCTGCCAGACTTGTGAAGTTTGTGAACGTCATGATCATCTGAGAGCGAAGAAAGACCAGACGGAGTCTGTTCTCGTAGAAAGACCTCGGCTGTGAGCTCGTTCATTTTATGCGCTTGCCATTATTCTAGATATTACTTAGTATGACGAGGGAGTTTAGTGGCAGTTGTGATTTGAGGCAAGGCTTGGCCTCGCTGCCAGATACAGCTCCTGCGGCGGTCTTGACCGGTGGCTACGGTGATCCATACACAGTGACAAGGACTCGGATTTCGCACCCGGGACCAAAAGAGGCTCTTGTCCAGCTGGCATACACCGGTGTGTGCCACGGAGATGTATATGTACGAGATGGTGGTGGCCCGGCGCCAAAGGTCCCGATTCGGCCATTGATCGGAGGCCACGAGGGTGTTGGAACCATTGTCGCCATGGGCACGGTAGGCATGGATGGGTTCACGATTGGGGACGTGGTTGGAATTGCCCGGAGAAGTCATGTTTGTGGCGCCTGTGACGCGTGTATGCACGGTGAAGAGAACCACTGTTTCAATCAGCAAGTCACTGGGTCTCATCGAGATGGAACATTTCAGAGTACGTCCGTTTTGGCAGGGGGTGAGAACCCAAGTTCCCTTCCCGCAATGAAGAGGCCATCTGACAAATTGTCCAGGATATGTCTCCTTCCCAACTTCCCAGCTGATCCCAATCCCCGCCAAAATCGCTTTGCCTAGTGTCTGTCCCATCCTCTGCGCTGGCGTCACCGTCCATACCTCGCTGTGGCTGATGAAACCACAGCCGTCAAAATGGTGCATTATAGTCGGTGCTGCCGGTGGTCTGGGTCACCTAGGCATCAAGTATGCCAAGGCCATGGATTTGAAGGTGCTGGCGATTGACGGAAACGGGGCTGAAAAAGAAACATTCTGCAAAAAGATAGGCGCTGATGCTTTTGTCGACTTCGGTCGAGAGGACTTGGTGGAGACCGTGGTCGCTCAGACAGACGGTGGTGCAGACTATATTCTGGTTCTGAGTCCTCATCAGTCGTCTTATGAGTAAGTGCTGCTTCCAGGTGCAAGTGGACTGCGACCATAGCTGACAGAGATCGTTTTTTTTTTTTCTGTTTTTCAGTACAGCTGGACAATACGCAAGCTTCGGAGCACAAATTATGGCGGTTGGAATTGGAAATGCGCAGTAAGTTCTCCCGGGGTTCCTTGACGTCTTAATGGAGGATTTGGGTGCTGAATCGGTCGCAAAAACAGCATGTCGTTAAGGCCCATTTTGAAAAAGAACTTGGTGGTTCGCTCTAACGAGACGGGGACCAAAGCAGATATGCGATTGGCCCTGGAGCTCTGTGCCCAAGGCAAGGTAGTGCCAGAGGTAGAAATTATTGAGCTTACCAACATCAACACAGCATCGGACAGAATAAAGTCCGGTAAGGTCATGGGAAAGCTTGTTATCGATCTCCAGGATCAAAAGGGTTGCAGTGTCTGTTGTTAGAACTTGCCAACATTCCCGCGGAGCCGAATGTTAGTCATTTACCCCTGTAGGTAAAGCGCAACCAATGCTGAATATATCTGGTGAGGCTTGGGCGTCTGGAATACCAGCACGGCCGGTTTCATCCATGAACCAGGTCAGGTCTTTCTTCCTGTGATCCTCTCGTACCGGCGTGAACGTACCAGTTGCATGCAGGATGTCCGTCGTAATTATTTTTTTTTTTAAAAAAAAAAATGGTGTGCTAGAGATAACCTTGACCGTGAGACGGATGAGAACCTGAATGACGCCATTCAAAGGAAATGAGTCCAAATGAAACAAAGTTTCGCCATTGCGAGGTTCCCACGACATGGACAGAGAAGAGGAAATCGCCGGCCACAGTCCGAATGTCTGCGCGGTGAGTGGTTACCTAGACCGGGAGTCCACGCTATAGTCAACAGTCACGGTAGGTAGGCGAAAAAGTAATGAAGAAGCTTAAAACTAATGAATGAAGAACAAGAATGGGGGAAACCTGACATTGGTTTCTTGGCCGAAGACGGCTGGTACGGGCAGAGCATGCCGTCTCACATCCATATTTAAATGTATCTTCCGTCAATGGTTTCCGCCCCCTGAGGGTTTTACACATATTCGAACGCGTCCCGCAACCAACGATACCTCGTGAAGCCTAGGGTCTCCACTTGAAATAAGGATGCTTCCATTCGAGGTCTTGAATTTCGAGCAGGCTCATGCCGGCCAAGAGGCTTTGTGCATCCCGTTTCTCTCGTTTCTTGTTGTCAGCACGCATCCACAGCAAGAGGCCGACCGACAGCAGAAATATCAAGCTGGTTGTTGCCAAATTGAGGCCATTTCCGATACGGAAGTCTGGCGTATCAAAGGGTAAATATGACCACATGGAGATCAGGCCGCCGATGTTGCCGAGCATGGTGTTGGCACCGATGGCCGCCGCGCGAGCAGTATCGGAGATGACGTTGGCAGACACTTGCGCATTGACCATAGTGCCATAAACAAAAATTCCTGCTGTAATCAGGAACGTGGCACCGTAGCGAGCATAAGGATCAGTAACTTGAGTGCCCACGAACATGGCGTAGCCGATCATCATGGGGGGAGCGCTGATGATAAAGAAAATTTGCCGAGTGTTGAGCTTATAGCTGAGGTATGGGATGAACATGGCGGTAAAGGCACCTACAACGTACGGCGGCACCGTATGGAGTTGCTGGCTCACGACGCTGTTCTTGGGATAGATAGTCTTCACAATGGTCGGGAGGAAGACAGCCAGTCCTTGACTGCTGACGCCAGCGAGCAAAAACACCATGCCGACGGTAAGAGTGACTGGTGAATAGATGCCTTTGTATATTTTGGCGCGGTCAAAACGGTCGAGGACTTCTGTGCTGGCCATGCGTTCGGACTTGATGCGAGCAATGGCCAAGTCCCTTTCGTCTTGAGTCAACCAACGAGCGGTGGCGGGGCGATCCGTGACTGTCAGGAAGGCAATTAAGCCTAGGCATAGGGTAATAATGCCTTCAATTCCGAAAATCATCCGCCAGCGATGGAGACTTCCAAAGTGATCCAGTGTCAAAATTGCCGAGGCCAGTAAGCCTCCGAAAGCGCCGGCCAGCGGGGTCATGACCATGTAGAGCGACAAGCGGAAGGTCAGCTCATCGCGACGATACCATCGAGACAGGTAGTAGGCGATGCCCGGCAACATTCCAGCCTCGAAGATCCCCAGGAGGAATCGAACGGCGTACGCCGCGGAGATGTCGTTGATAAAGGCCATGGCCAGTGTCAAGACACCGAATCCCGTCGTCGATGCAGGAAGGAACCAGCCCGGCCCGATCCACTTGCACACGAGATTGCAGGGAATCTCGAAGACAATGTATGAGATATAGAAAAGGGTCAAGACACGATTGTAGTCGTAGCCATGCAGACCGAGATCCTTTTCAAATCCCACAATTTTGGCATTTCCTACAGAATGAGTGATGAGTTCATGGGCTGGCGGACTGTTTTGTTCGCACATGTGGATAGTAGACATACCGATGTTGGCACGATCAATGAAGCAAAATAGATATAGTAGGCACACAGTGGGCATGACAAACATGTCGATCTTGCGGCGGAGACGCTTCTCTGTCGCCGCGTCGAACTCGACAAGTGGATTTCCCCAGCTATGGGTTATGGTCAGCTGTCTGCATGCAGAGACCATCATCTATCGTCGTCTTACTCGTCTGTCGCCACATGTCCACGCTCGGCCGCCTCGTGCGCGTCATGTTTAGTCACATCCTCGACGGTGGTGGAGTGAACCGACGCCCCAGGCATCTGTTGCTTGTCGGAAGTGTCCATGTAGTCAGGTGAAGGGAGATCCGTGCAGAGCAGCAGGCTCTTCAGACATGCGATCGAGGAGGGAAGAGTAGGCAGTCTTTCTAGAGCCAGTTTTATTTATGCCCTGACCCTGGAGAATACAACTCCCCGGGACCCCACGGGGTAAGGGATCCCGGAGACTCTTCCTGTCTCGATTATCTCGGGACTCAATCTGCGGGTTGTCGAAGGCTGCAGCAGCTGCTCCAGGGAGGAGAGCGACGGCGTGGTACTTCCCCGGACGACGCGCGTGGGAGCCGGGGGAACATTGGCTCCTCCACAGTGCTCGTCGACATGGAGGAACCCCCCTCAACCGAGGAACCCCCCTCAACCGGGGATGTCGAAGGCCGTCCGGCAGGCTGGACTTGTGCTTGGGTCTTCGGATTCCGTGTGTGCACCGCACCCGGTAGATCATCCAACCGGAATGCTTCCAGACATCAACCTGGTACGACCGGATGGCCACTTCCGAGATAGCCGGCCCAGGACACTTTTCTGTCCAGTAGCGCTTGGGACACTCGACGCCGACTGGGCCTCTCCAGGACTCACAGCCAGGTGGAGATACCAAGCATCGACCGGGTCTTGCTTCTCTGTATAACGCAGGGAGGCTGCTCAGCACGAACATGTTTCCATATAATCCGCCGGTCACCGAGTTCGTTGGATTCTGCTGTGGCAAGTATCGAAGGGCCAGGCAAGGCATAACGCTCCGCTGAGGTCTGTTGAGCCTGCAAATATGGCCACCAATGCTTCGACGTTGACCATTGAGGGACGCCCTCCGTCCAGCTTCAAACCTACCCATGAAGAGCGCAAACGGGCTGGGCTGATCACGTTCGAGGAACATGCCATTACACCATTTTCTGTGCCTTCCACGTCGGTAACATTCGAAACCTTCAACCCTGACTTTTTGGGTGGGTTGAAACAGCGACTGCAAGACATCGAGCTCAGGGTGAAGATTATGGATGCAAATAACATTGCCGCTCAGATCATCTCTCTGAATCAGCCGACGGCCCAGGCCTTTGTCAAGTTGGACGACTGTGTCGAGTTTTGCCGCAAAGCGAACGAGTTCGTGTTTCAAAATTACTGTGCAAAGTATCCAAAGCGGTTTTTCGCCTTCGCGACCCTGCCTACGCAAGACGGGACAGCGGCAGCGGCCGAATTAGAGCGTTGTGTCAAGGAGTACGGATTCGTGGGTGCTATGATTAACGGGTATACCGTGACCGAAGATCCTACTAAGGGGCTCTACCTTGACGATCCGCAGTACGACACGTTATGGGAAGTATCTGGACGCTTGGGAAAGCCAATCTTTATTCATCCTCGCATACCTCTCCAGTCGAATCTCAACGTTCTGAAAGATATTCCCATACTCCATGGAGCACCGTATGGATTTGGAAGAGAAACTGTGGAACATCTTCTAAGGATTATGTACGCTGGAGTCTTCGACCGCTTTCCCAAGTTGAAGATATGCCTTGGACACTCGGGCGAAGGACTCTCTTGGATCTTGCCGAGGACCGACACCACATTTAGAATGTACACGAAAGGTGGGTTGATCGCTACCTGGCTTGTTATCGAAGTGATCGCTGATCCAAAGCACTGGTAGCCGCCCAAGGGCCGAAGAAAAAGTCCTTTCTTTATTATTTCCAAAACAACATTATTTGCAACACCAGTGGTATGCCGAGGACATCGGCCCTGCTCAATCTGTTGTCGGAAACAAAAGTCGAAAATGTCACTTTCTCGGTGGATTATCCCTACGAGAGTATCGCCGAGATGAGGGCATGGTTTGAATCAGTTCCAATATCGGACGAGACATGGAAGGATATTGGGTTTCGTAACGCGATCAGGATCTTTAACCTGCCACTTGACATCAACTAGAGCTGCTTAGAAAATACAGGAGTGGGAATGCTTTGCAACACCGTTTCCTTCAAAACAAATTTTACGCATGGTATTGGATTGACCTTATTCACCAAGATATTAAATCTAGATTGTGAGTGACACGTTGACCAAAACACAGTTAGTGAGCGCAGAGTGTTCGTGGTTAAAAGAATTCGATACTGTCTCCTTGAGTAATAAATTGATCGTCCCAAGCGAATGGCAGATTTCCGAGAAAGTCGAGATCAGCGAGGTTACTGGCGGCTGGGAACGCACATGCATCACTGGCAGTTTGCATGCCACCAGCGCTCTCTAGTGGTTCAGAGAAATCATTAGTAGACGGGTGGTCAAAGCAGGAGTCCCGTGTGTGACTTACGGAATGTGGACGCAAATTGCAAGAGACGCTCAAGGCATTTCCGGCATCGATTGCCAATACGCGAGTCACTACTCGCTTTCGTGATTGTCTGAGATGCATCTTGGATGTGTTTGAGGAAATCCTGGGGCTCAAGATGGAGAATTCTGATGTTGTGCTTCATGCTGAGGATCATGACGGCGAAGATGACCAGGGCAGCGGAGAAAGCTGGAGTCGCAAACCTTCAGCACTGGTGCGGCAGCGGGGAAAGACAAAGCACAACTTACCGTAATAAATTTGAAACCACCAGGTCGTCAGCACTGGGGACTTCGTCGGCGATGGAGAGTTGCTTTTGAGGATATCGAGGATGTCGAGGGCTGCGGACAAGCACATTTCAACACTAGCCTTACCAAAATTCATCAAGAAGTTCCATTCACCATCGGTATCCGCGGTCGATCTCCCATTTTGAAGAAAGCAGACCAGCATCCTTCGGTGAAGCAGCATGCGCGTGTGGAGAAATCGCAGGGTTAACACGAGACTCATTGTAATGTCTATGGGCGCATCCGACACTGCGGGATTCGTGGCCTCGATCATGGTATCCCGAGTTTGGAGCCGAATGTGAGAAGGTAATTCGGCCTTCCATGCTGTTAGTTGCGGTTCGATCGCCATAATGTTCTGAAACACTTTTGAGCTTGGAAGAATCTCCTTGGTTTGAATGTTGTTTTGATACACGGTCTGCAAGATTAATCCCACAAGTGCGTACAGTTTGCTGCGGAAAAGGTCAGTGAATCGACAGGAAGAGAAAATCCGGCACCCTCACATGGATTGAACAAATGCAGCCACAACTGACATCCCATTCACGCGACTTGGTACCTGTTCTTGTCGGTTTTCGGAACCGAGCGTCTCAAAGTCAACATCCTGAGGAAGTTCTTCAAGTTGATAATCCTGCCTGATACTCTGTGGTCTTCCAAAAGTCATGCTGCATGTCCTAGGACAGGTATTAGCTAATTAAGTTCAATCGGTCGGTTAGATGGGGACTAAGGTGCGTACCTATCCATGATGCAACACATGTGCCAACACCGCTTTCGAATTTCTCGTTCCAAAGGACCGTACTTTGCATTCTCGGCTGGTGAGTGCAGGCCAATTTGAAACGCAGCATGGACGGTGAGCCCTTGTAGGGTCCAGGTCCGAGCCGACTGCTGTGTCCCTTGCAGGTACTGAAGAATCAAGAGCAAAGCTTGAACTGATCATCACAATCAGCTGAAATCTCTGTGGATCAACTCGGCTCAAGGCTGACCGGCTTCAAGGTTGGCGCTCTGAAGAGATATGTCTTGCAAAACTTTCAGGGCCCGCTGCAAATAGATTTCTGCATCTGTTTGATTCTGACCGCGGTGTGGGTATACAGCTCCGCTAGTCGCGAAAGCCATAATCGTGTTTAGCAGACAGAGCCAGGGCCTTCGCACGCCGCGGAAGGATGCGCTTTCCATATCGGCAATGCCGTCGAGGAAAGTCTTCTTGTAGATGTAAGGGAAGAGCATGCCAAATCCGGTGAAGAAACGGTCTAGCAACTCAATTATCGTTTCCTTTTTGGGCAGTATAAAGCAGTTAACATCATCGACAGCCAAGCTTAAGGGTTGATTCCTTCGAGACGAGGGGTTTGGTGAAACCGGCCGTGAGAAATGTGTCGAGTCTTGTCGCTCGCATAAAGTGTCGCCATGATGCCGGGTAGGGACATTGCGCATCTGATCCACAGCATCATTGATGGTGGAGAAAAAAGCCGAATTCGAAGATGGGCCTACATTAGATCAGTGAGTTTAGGTCTAGACGCCAGACAAGGGGGATCTTGACCAAAACAAGCAGCGGTTTCATCGTCCGCGAACGTGATCACGACCATGCCATCGACCGTGTCGTTTTGCGAAGTATCAGGTTGAGGGCTGACCAGCATTTGATCGGCGCCATGCGGCACTCTCGCTTGGTGCCCGGACAAGTGCGATGAAGAGTCAAATGGAGTGTCGGTGCTTGACGATGGCGATGTTAGACCGAGGAACGACGCAGTGGTGCGGTCCCTTGTCTTGGTTGCTGGCGAGATCCCAATATTCGCCGCTAGCAGTCGCAATGACTGTTCGATCGCACGAAGCCGCAATTCAGTCGGGGAACTGGTCGTACCAAAGACGGTCAATCTCAATCTGGGCAACGCAGAAGGACTAGGTGGCTGCCTTACTCTGCCTCGCTGGGGATGCTCTGTTGTCTGCGAACTGGTTGTGTATAATTACAGACAAATTCGAGGTCGACACAGATGCCACAGGAGGGTCTTGCCCCATCGCATTTGGTCTTTCGCACGCGGCACGAGTCGCAAGCTAGGGCAGTGCGTTGCCTCTTGCTCCTGGGAGGTTCGGGTTCAGCATCTCGAGCATGAGAGAGCGGCATCACGGCCATCGAAAACGGACTGCATTGACCAACAACTTCGTCGGGGGAAGCTGTTAGTAGAATCGCAGAACAAGAGTCTCAGGGCCCTCGAGCAAGAACCTGTGGTCAAATGGTCACAACTGAAGCGTTTCGAAGCCTGCTTCTTTCAAAGAAATCGGAAATAGTACCTCGTACGGTCCACCCTGCTGTTTCGCCGCCTTGGTCGTCTTCCCCGATTGCCCCGGAAACGCCATGCTACACAAGGACCAGGCTGCTCGTATGAGATCTTGCAGCCAATGGGCAAGCAGGGGGATTTAAGTACAGTACGAGGTACCTCGTAGATATACCACTATTCGGACTCGTGGGAAACTTCACACTATCTGTTCGTAGTCCCGTTGTGCCACCACCGAGCGAGAGTCGTCGGGATTATCCTCATATCTCAGAGCACACCCATTCCTCCCTTTTGAATTAGTGGCTTGCCGCTTTACTCGCCCTCGGCTCACCTACTGCTTCCTAAGTGACTCAATGGCCATGCGGAGAACCTGCGGGGTAAATTAGTCAGGCAGTTTTAGCGCCCCAATCAAATCTTACAATTCGCTTTTCAGCCTTCATCACTACGAATACCTTTTCTTTCTTTCCATACGACACCATGTATAGAAAATGCTTGTGCGATAGTGCACATAGACGGACCAGAGCTTTCCAGTCGACCTTCTTCCTGTGATTCAGAATGAGAATTAGGCTTGTCTAATAGACGGTTTGATCGACGGCGCAATTTACAGCACGACAACCTCGCCATGGATGGCCGCGACAGGAAAGGTTTCAAGTTGGCTATTCTGACACAGGCCAAATGTCTATATGATCAGGAATGGAATCGCTGGAGAATGGAATAGACAGACATCTCGCAGGATAGACAAATGCTATCAACCGTCTGGACACTGATCCGCGTCACAGATGGACTGCTGTCCGTGTCGGATTTTGTTGCTGGAGATGTATTGACGACGGTGTCGCCATTCAAACGCAAGCTTGATCAAGTATCATGGTACTCTAATGTAATGGTTTTAATTCTTTCTAAAACTCGGCCATGCTCCCCCAGAATTGTACCAGGCAGTAGGATGGGACAATCCTCTCCTTTGGGTCTCTTCTTGTCAAGCCTTTCTTCTGGAAACAGATTTAGCACATCGAAACGAAGGGCTCAAGACTGGGACACCAAGAATATACCACTTCGAAACTCACCATTAGCACATGCAAGGCATTATTCATAATTTCGCTTGAGGAGGCTTGTTTGCTTCCAATCGGATTTCCTTGCGAAGGATCTTTCCTGAAGCACTCTTGGGTATCTCGTTGAGAAAGAAAACCCCTCCTCGCAGCTGCTTGTAACTCGCCACTTTGCCCTCGACAAAATCTACCACCTCTTGAGCTGTGATGGCTCGGCCTTCGGACGATTGACGGCGAACCACGTATGCCCGGGGGACTTCCGTCTGTTGCTGGTCGTCCCAAACCCCGATGACGGCGGCATCCGCAATGAGAGGATGAGAAGTGAGCAACGCTTCCAATTCCGCAGGCGCGACTTGGTTGCCTTTGTACTTGATCAATTCTTTCTTTCGATCATGGATATGGACAAGCCCGTCCTTGTACATCCCAATGTCGCCCGTCCTGTAGAACCCGTCGATAAACGATTGCTGGTTAGCCTCGGGCCGATTATAATAGCCTTGAGAGAGGATCGGACCTGCAACTAAGAGCTCGCCGGACTCGCCTTCGGCTAGGTCCTCATCATTCTCGTTGACGACGCGAAGAACGACGTTTGGGCACAGCTCGCCGACGCTCCAGGTCTTCTGGTCGGTGTACGCGGGCCAGTCGGTAGCAGTGATAACGCCGGTAGTCTCCGTAGTTCCCCAAGTTTGCGCCATGTGGGCTCGCCCTCGGCCCAATTTCTTCCTCACGTCCCTTATTACGTTTTCTCCTATCGGTGCAGCCCCCGTGACGGCAACCTCCAGCCCGTCGAAATGATCTGTTACCTTGTCGCTCTTTGCGATCCGCAACCAGACTGGCGGTACAGTAAACTGGTATGCTGGCCGGTAGCGGCGATGATATTCGAGAAAGGAGTCAAAGTCATAACTTTTCATCCACCAGGTCGTGCCACCCATGTAGAAAGGACAAGTCGCGTACAAAGAAATCCCGGCGATATTACTCATAGGTAGATGTGCAATGGTGTTCATCAAAAACTCTCGTCCTTCCATTTTGCAGCGGGCCCGATAGCGGCGAGCAACATCCATGGTGCACACATTGTCTGATACAAGACCCCTATGGGATATTCGGACGCCTTTCGGTAGCCCCGTAGTCCCAGATGAGTACAAGAGACAAATCGTGACTTCTTCGAGCGCGCGCTGGTCGGTGATATGTGGCCAGTCATACATTTTATCCCCATCCCATCTGAGCACGTCAGACCGGTCTGTGACAGAGATCAGTTTCCAACCCTGGGGAATCGTGCTGTCCAAAATCAAGATCCTTCCTCTCGCAATGCCGCACTGTTGGGCTGCCAGGACCACTCGCGCCTCGCATTCTGGCGAGCAGACCAGCAGAGTGGGTTTGGAGTCCTCAATCTGGCGTACTAATTCTGCCACAGGGTATTCTGTGCTAGCACCAGAATAGACTCCTCCGGCAGCGACGAGCCCATAGAAGAACACGGGCGCAAAAGGACTTCCGTAAACGACAGTCAGAACGACATCACGGCCAGCTCCCGAGGCGCCGATGCCGTAGCGATGTTGAAGGACGTACGCAACCCGCTTGACCAATATGCGAGCCTCGGCTTTCGTGATACTATTCGACGGATTCGCAGCTTCCACATGGATTTTGGTTTCTTCACGAGCCAAACAAAAATCAGAGTCTACAATACAAGAGATCAGCCACCGGGAAATGCGCCAAAATGCTATACATTTAGTCCGACTTACCAAACAATAGCGACAAAATATCCATACATGGAATGTTAAGGTCTTTGTGTTGCGACTTGTAAACTCGCATCTTGCTGTCCAAATGTCTTTGGAAGCTTTGGTAAAACTCAGGTCGTGCAGGTTACTGACGCCTGCTTATATCATGGGGCTCTTTCGTGCCAAAGAAATGTCAGGTATGTGCCGCGGTAGAAGTTTACCCCTCCGCTTTCCATCTTGAAGGAACTAGACTCAATAGAGGCTCGAGCCAGCCGTTGGCGGGGAGCTCCGAAGAGAAGAGCTTGTAGCCCTCCACCCCGCTCGGCGCAGTCTCGATATCGCATACCACACGTCGGACCTCTATTGGAATTAAGGTTCCTCCATGCATCCACAAATGATCTAGCGTAGCTTCTATTTAAGCCCTTTAATCATTGGACTTTCTATTCTAGACAGCACCACTGCGTTTCCATAATCAATATCGAGAGACCAACGCAGCAGATATAATCCTTGTGCGTCTGTCTATTTTAATCAGTCAAAAGTGCTGCGATCAAGACTTGTTGACTCTGTTGATCCTAGGCACTCCTCGCTCCCTGTCACACCATATGATCGTACACCTCTGCTGGCTTTTCTCAGCAGCGACAAGTTCTGCATCCAGTGGGTGTGTACCTTGTGTTCTGAAAAGCAGTTGAGCGCCGAGGCAAAAGTTTCACGAGGCGTAGCAGCCAAATTAAACCTTGCGAGATTTAGCAACACCAGCGCCACCGCTATGAGGATCATGGTGAAGAAAATTGCATGCGTCTTCGGTGCAGACTTACCCTGAGTCAGGTCGAAAGGCCCTGTTCCTAAATGTTGCGCAAACACAGCGCTTTGAAGGCCGGACGGAAAAAGAAAGCAGATCAGTGCTGGACTTCCTGTTCGAAAATCAGGTGAATCTCGATGTCACCTATGGCTTTAGATGCAAATAGGGCTCCATCGCTTTTGGGGACGATCGATCCGTGCAATACGCTCTGCGGAGTGGTGGCTTCATTCATAGGAATCGGTCTGCTGATCAAATATCGAGGCGGTCCTGATTCTAAAGCCGGTGTAAGTACCGCGGAAGTTTTCGTTGGCCTCTCAGGGAGCTTCTTCTCGTATCCGAGTTTAATTCTTGTCCAAACTGTTGCAAAATACCAGCACATCGGCGTTTTGATAGGTCTCATCTTTACCGTCAACAACTTGGGTGTGGCTTTTGGAAGCCGTGTGTCCCACGACATCTGGACACAGACTTTTTACAAGGGACTCGACAAAAACCTCGCACCATTCAAACGGCAGTGTAGATGTCAAACCCCTCAAAGTGGCCTTACCTGGATATGCAAAGAATTCGGAAAAGTGTTATAGGAAACGACCTGTTATGCGACCAGGATGCGATTCGCACAGGGAGGTAGTCTATTCCTCCACTCCCTCAGACTCTTTCTCTCTTCTGTTGATTCTGGGATAGACAGACACTTAGCCAAGAAAGCTTTACCGCCAACTTGGTCATTGTGGCCGTCTCTCCTTGCTTGCTGGCTAGATATGAGATTGATCCTACGTCGATCATGTCAACGATTCACGAAAAAGAGCTCGACTCCACGCCACATCGACAACGTCGACCCCAAGCCACGCGCAGCAAAATGCAACTTTCCATGTGGTGTTGCTGCTTGCAATACCACGTTCGCCCGCAACCAGAGCCTAGCCCTAACTGGGGGCAGTTTGGTACAATGAAAAGGGAAGCTCCTTTCACGTACCCCAGCTTCCAGCGAGGCAGCAACAGAACAAATAGTTGACCTTAATCCACTTCACTCGCCGACATTGATCGCTCCTCTTTGCAAGGCACCCACAAAGGCAGTTGGTCCTTTTAGTCGCGCAGACACAAAGAAAGAGCCGCTCGCTCAAAGCTTCAAAGCTGTCCTTTCAGAGGTTTCTCGACTTTCACGAGAACAAAGCGTTCATGCGTTCTGTGTGGCTCGAATCTCCAAGCTTTGTCAGGGGTCCCAGAGCATTGTCCCCGCTTTTTCTTCAAGGACAGCCGGGCTGCCTTTCATTACAACCATGGTTCGATCTCTGGAGAGGCTGAGTGTCCTACTATATATAGGCCACACCTACATTCTTGCCCTTTTCTTTGCCCAAGTCCATCAACTGCTGCCCGCTCAGGACAAACTCCCATTGTTGCTACTAGTGGTTCCAGATCAATCATTTCTCCCAACTCCAGTTCAGGGCAAAAGAATCCACAGCCCCTACTCGAGTCTTATTGCAAAATGGCTGACCCTAGGCAAACAGCGCATGACGTGCTCCAGGATGCCCTCGCTTTCGGATCGGTGCAAGATTCTGCGGAAATGGTACGCGCTCGAAATCCCGGTGATGTTGTAGATTACGACGGCGACGACGACGGCGACGAGGCCTGGCGCCTCTGGGATAGGCCTGCTCCGACTTCCTCTCCTGAAGCTAACCTGACTTCTTCGGAAGATTTGCGAGTCTCAGATGAGGAGGATTACGATGGCGAGGCCGCATGGGCCCAACACCAACTCTATTTCGCCCAGCAGGCTCGTCTCATCGGCTTCAATAACGGTGCCTCTGGCAACAATGATGACGTTCCCATGTTCTCTGCTGACTGCTTCGCAGTGGACGGTGGCGCCGATGCTGTTGTTGGTGTCCATGAGGGTAATGAAGAAGAAGGTGAGGATGCCCCACAAGTCACACCCTGGCGCGGGAGTCCGCCTCCACCACCACGCCGATATCGTAAGTCAGTGATACCCGCCCGTCAGTCCCTGCTTATCTTTGCTTTACAAAACTCGCGCAAACAGCGCGAGAAGATGCACCTCAAGCACAGAAACGACAAGCGCGCCGAAGCTGCTAAACTCAAGCTGCAAACACTGTTGGAGGACCGAGTCCTGGGGCCGCATCGGACTACCTCAATGGGCCTGGCTCTGCAAAAGGGCGAGAACAATCGAGTGCACGGTAGTGGCGATCGCGACTGCGTGATGAAGGACACGTATGACTATCGAGCGCTTGCGGTCGCTCAGGCGCGCCGGGAGCGGTCGAAAATGGAAGAGGCTCTTTCAGAGATGGGCGAAGGAGTGTATGAGTTGTGAGAAAGGGTGATAAGACGCTGAGAAGCTGGGACGAGAAGGTGATGGGTTACACTCTACAGGGGTTAGAGGAGGAGGCGGAGACGCAGATGGAGGAGGCATTGTGTATGTCTTTGCAGTTCATTCCTGTTCATCGGGGATTCCATAGGTCGGCCTACGGACTCAAGGGGTCGTCAAGACGTTAAGACGTCCAGACGCGCCTTCAAGCTTTGGGCTGGGATGTTTGACATGGCATTTTGGGTTTGGGTGATAGGTAACAGGTCAAAGATACATACACAAGGCTTCGTTTGGTTTGGTCATTCCTTTTCTTGTTATCCCCTTCGTCATTTGCACGGGCGATCCCAATGGCTAATTCGTATCTTCTCCGTGACCGCTTAGGTTCCAGAACCTACGATAAATGTCCCGCAGTGACTGAAGCAGGCGAGCCGGTTAAAAGTGGGAAAATACGGCGACTCCATATGGAAATCCCATCTAGTACTCCGTACTTTTTGACTCGGTGTTCCGACGCCGCCCAAGGTTGACGGAACCATGGAAAGGGCTAACTGGCAAAGCAGTTGCAACGTGTATGGAGTATATATCGGTATCTTGTTTCGCTTTGATATTTCTTTTTCTTTTGCTCTCGGGATATCTTCGGATGGTTGACGGTCTTTGGCCACGCGAGTCAGTGAAAAGAATACCAGGGTAACAGATATATGTCTCTCTGCGAGCACCACGAGTGATGCTTCTTGCGCAAATAACTCGTCCAGACCAGCACCTGGTAGTGTATACACGTCCCTGGGCATCAGAGATCAGAGAATTCCCCTCAATGGTGAATAGTGTTGCGTGCTCTGAAAGTATACCATCCTTGTATCCGCGAGTCCATCAACCTCCTTCGTGGCAGCTCTAGGCGGTATGTTCCTTGTCGGTGCCCTCCTCATGGACAGCCACGGGGCTGACATGTCCCTGCGCCTGGGCCTTTTCATCCACGTGCTCGACTTTAATATGTTGCGCGGCCTCATCCAGCGTCTCAGCAACCTACACGAAAAGACAACTCGTTAGCGAAACGCGGTGTTTCCCAAATCAACATGTCCCAAACAAGGTGAAATGAAACAAAATGAAAGGAAAGAAATGACCTAAATCAGGGATATCATATGAAATCTAGGAAAAGGGGGGTCAGGGGAGGGTTTATGTTTGGCTCACCTTGTCGCCGAAAACAGCCTCGATCTCCTCCAGCGTCTTGTTCCTCGTCTCTGGGTAGAACAAGACGAAGACGATGGCGAAGACAAAACTCGAGCACACGAATATCAGGAAGAACTTCCACGAGATGGTCTCGATGGCCTGCGGGGTGAATTGCACGAGGATGATGATCAGGACGTGCTGTGTCATGTAGCTGACGGCTACGCCGACGGGGCGGACAGAGGTAGGCATGATTTCGGCGGGATACTAAGAAATTCCCCCAAGCAGGCGTCAGTTTACGGCTTCCTTTTTTTTCCCGAGTGACTTAATACAAGGGGTTGAATACGAACCGTGGCAAGGAAAGCATTGGCAGGCCCGCCATACCCGAGTCCGACGAAAAACATGGCTGCGATGATCCCCTTCGCGAGGGAGCGGTTGGTGCTTCCGCCGTTTTCGTAGATCGCCCAGGTTATGCAGGTTGTGAGCGTTCCGGCAACAATAAGGAAATATGAGATAAACTATATTTGGTCAGAGCAAGGTCTATCTTCAGGACAAGGGGATAAAACTTACCATCGTTGGCCGCCGTCCCATGAGGTCGAAGCATAAGGCCGCGTATATGGCAGAGAGAGTGCCCACGCAACCCCATACACCCGTCAGGATGAGGGACATGACGTTGCTGAATCCGACATTCGTATAAAGGATGACCTGGTAATTTTGGATGACGATGACACCAGAGAGCCTGCAATCAGATATTAGCTGAGTTCGTTCGGGTCTCCGTGCAGATTTGTAATAAACTTACATGCATGCAATTGCGTACCAGAACACCAGCAAAAATCGTTTGCGGTACGATGGCCTTTGCCAGATTGCTTTGAGACCAAGGCGCTCCTCCCTGTCAAGCTCGATTTGGGCTTTGATCTGGTGAAATTCGCGGATGTAGAATGTATCGTCGTGTGTAGTGCCGTGCATTTTCTTGAGGATGGCCAAGGCCTCGTCGTAGCGCCCGACATATGCAAGGAAACGCGGTGACTCTGGCATCAGGAAGGAGCAGGCAAACATGAGAGTGCCAGGGATAAGTTGGCAACCTAGCAGGAGACGCCAAGAGACGTTGCCTTTGATGAAGTAGAATCCCAGACCACTTGGGTTGTACTCAGCATTCATTTACATTCGATCATGAATACAAGCAGACTTACACCCATTCAGTAAAACAGTAAGCTCCGTTGACACTGACTCTGCGAAAATATCAGCAAAGATACTTGATAAATTTGAAGGCCGCGTACGAATAAAGACCACCAATTCGACCTCGCATCTTGGGAGGCGCGATCTCAGAGGCGTATGCGGGACAGACCACGAAAATCAGGCCCGACGCGAAGCCACCGATAACTCGGCCGGCAACGAAGACACCATAACTATGGGCTCCTGTCTGCATCGCCGCGGCAAGCAGAGATGCCAGACAGCCGATTTGGATGGTTCGAATACGTCCGTATTTGTTGGGCAGGTACCAATTCGAAGCCATGCCAACAACGGCTCCAGCGTAGTACGCTGATCCCATGGCGCCTATGGTGGTAGAGTCCAGGCTGAAGTATTCGAGAAAGGACGTATACCCAAGGACTGAAGTCGTGCAAGCTTTTTCAGGACGTTAGTTTGTGTCCAGGGCAGCCTCGAGATATGATATGCCTACCAGAGTCATAGCCATAAAACACGGCCCCGAAGGTCACGTACAGCACGCAAAGCCAGTTGTAGCGATTCATCTTGGAGTTATGTTCACCCATGGTCGAAGGCTGTCTTCTCGATCAGATCCGAGAAAGAGGAAGAGCATGCAATGAGGTATGCACTGAAAAACCCGCAAAGACGGGGGCCTGGTGCATGCATATAGGAATTAGCGACCGGGGCATCCTCGGTCGCTGCTGAAATGAGCCCAGTGGCAACTGATCGACAGCTCGTGGCATTCACTCCTGAGTAGGGTGTTTCTGACTCCGAATGGTCTGGTTGGTAGCAAGAAAACATAGGATAGAAGGCCGTGGCTCGTTGTGCGAGCATGCCAGAGATTGCGGAGTCCCCGCAGAATACCTCAGCCTTGTCTAGATTAGGATATCCTCGGTCTAAGCTTGACCATTTCTCCTGCGGAGAATGATGATCTTCTCCGACTCTGGTTGGAAGAGGTTAAGCGAGGTGCGGCGGGATTAAGAGTCCGTGTTGTTGCCGTGCGATCCTGACTTGCGGTGTCTGGGTAGAAAGCTAAAATAGTCCTTGGTAAGGACCCCTGGGCTCGATTGTCTGCTGGATCAAAGCAGCAGAGAGCGCCCAGGGGCATTGCATAAGTGTCGGGCCAACCTCCCTCGCTTCTTATCTGTGAACCTCTTGCAGTCAGCTATGCAATATCGGCAAGTATCACACAGAGGGACCCTGTTACCAACAGTTGAGACACTCCCCATATCTTTCACGAAGCCGTATTCACCGAGGACCAATCATAGAAACCTACGGCCCCTTTGATCTCTTTGCATTCTTAAGTTCACCTTTTCCTGAAATCCATAAAGTTTTGAAAACACGGTGATTGATTCCTTAGGTTACGTGCAACGTGCTCGGCCCTTCGAAATCTCATGCTTCCAGCCAAATCCCAATGCGAAGCTGAATGATTTCAATCAATTTCGTGGGTGGTGCCATCATCACTATTGTGACCGATACCCTCTTCAACCGCTGCCGCAAGAGCCGTAACTTGAGATATGAGCCATATGGTACTAAATGGTACTCAACCCTTCTGCAGTGGTTCCTCGCTGGTGCTCTTATTGTTATATGGAATCTTTTGACTGCTCCCTTATGTCGAGTGCTGTCTGCCTTAGCGTGGAACGCCGTGGCGTGTCGGTGAAAGCCCGCAACAGTAAGCATTCGTGACGAGGGTGTTCCTCGAGTCTCTTTTGCCCGTGCCGTACTCAAACCACCGCTATATCTCGAATTTCAAATCACCAATTTGAAAGTCCAGACCAGAGAATCATCCTCACCGCGGGCAGCGGATTGGTCATTCGAGAAGACCACTGGTTTGCTGATGCTAGCAAGTGTCTTGTTATCTGTATATCTTCTCTGGGCAGGACCTAATCGTGCTCTCAAAACAACCCCGACTTCGATAATGTCATTGGATGAAAGCAGGTATGTACGTCGTTCAAAAAAGAAGGGCGAAAGTCGGTCCTGCTACGTAATGCAGTGTCTGCGGGACATCACAAACCTCTACAACCCCGCCGCTCGGCCGGAGTAGATAAAGCAAAGGTCTTGCACACATTGGTTATTGTAATATCCATGCCCTTATATTCCAATGGCACATCAGCCACGTGGCAAAGGTTTGCCATAGTCTCGTGGAGCAAGGTAAGCTTGGCCAGCTATTTATGTCCTCTCGTGGGATGCTTGAGTGTTAGAGACATGGCGCTGGGTCAGGGAGACGGAGAAGAGCAGGCACTCGAGGAGCCCAACGAAGCGAATTGATTTGTAAGAATAATGAACTGAGACGAAAAGGGACCTGGATCTAATTCTCATCTCATCACATCGGTTGCGGAACTTGAAGGCGCGGACTTTTGGCTTGGCACGCTAGACCTTATTCGGCTGTCTATAACTATCGCTCACAGCTTCGCTTGCCCAACAGGCCTGATCACAAACCCGACACGAGGAAAGTGAACCCTCACCTCTCCCACAGCTGGGTAGGTTTCAGAACCTGTCTGCTGAGGTGTGATGACCGCTTCTTCCGGTGTGAGAGCCACCAGTGTCCCTACCGTGGGACTGTCCCTTCCAGTATCATCAGGAGCGATGCTCACTCCCGCACCTGCAACAAGACCATTGCGTTTATCAAGGTCGTAATGAGGACAAGCCGGAGTAGCAAGCAGAAGCGTTTGTTCTCGCAACGGTGTCTGCTTCAGTTGCTCCATGAGTCTTTTCACGCTCTGTGCATCGTCCCTCTCGATCCTAGTCTCCGTGCTCGGCAATCCATCAACATATATCCTGAAGCGCTCAAACCAAGAAAAGACCCCTGGGTATCGGTCTTTATTGAACACTCTCCCTATTCCCTCCCCATCCCCATCCTTCGTTCCTCCACCTGTCAGATTCTCAATCCCTTCGCCGCGACTGATCTTCTCGCCCCAATCAAGCTGATACCACAGTGCCAGGTCCGCTGCACTCGGCATATCGGCTCCAAATATCCACGTCTTTGTACCCTTGTCAGCAAGTAGTGGCTCCAACAAGCTCAACTGCAGATCCAACCCGCTGAGATTCTGAGGAACTTTCCTCTCCAGCTTTTCGGCGTCGAGTTTGTGACCGATCAAATCCGACCGGTCGACTCCAAAATGCGTACGCCATACACTCGAGGGAATGAGGCCCGTGGTTACGCGGAAAAGGGGCCTGTCAGTCCAGTATGAGGCAAACCCACGGACCAGTGGGCGAAAGGACGCCGTGGAAGATGGGTAGAGTGTTCCATAGCCTTGTGCGGAGGGGAATTGGTGCTCAAGCGCTTCGAGGATCAGGGAAGTGTCGATGTAAATCTGTCACAGGTGGCACTTGCATTTAGCCCAAGCCTTGCAATATCTCTGGACGGGCACGCAACCGAACAGGCTGGTGGTTATGACTGCCCACTGAATATTGAGTATGAACTTTGCTTACCTCTCGTCCAATTGCCAGGACCGGAATCTTTCTATAAGTGATATTGAAATTATCCTTCAAGACCGGTCGTGGCATCATTGAAGGTACAACAATGAAAGCTGTCCACGAAAGCACCCGTAGCGTCAGCCTAAGCCAAAGTTCGCCGAGGAGAGCAGAGTCAACATTGGACACAGCAAGACGTCCCACAAAGGTCAGGCTTTACTGAGAGCTAGCTAGTATGATATTGCCCAACGTACTGTATGGTATTTGTTTCAACCTGAGAGCTAACTTCACCTTGGTCGTAAAGGGCGACGCTTGATTGATTCCGCGTTAGCCCCACGTACATACTCTCAGGGCTCCAAGGTTGAAGTTGGACTATATCTCACAGTCATATCCAAAAAGAACCACTTGGGGCTTCATAGAGGAGGCGTCAGCCGCCATACTGGGAAATTTTGGGCAAAAGACGAAGTGGGTTCCAATCGTTGTCGTGTTAGAGTCGACAAATGGGCAAGAAAATTCGCCTTTAAATGCTACAGTCTCTTTTTGACTCAGAAGGCGTACATGTGCGTGATATGAGAAATGGACTTTATGTCTTTACGCGCACGCGAATAATAGGAGGAACAGAAGGAAGTCAGAGTCGGATGAATGGGTCGTCTCGGCGCATGAGCCTCGGTTCGGTCAGAAGTCGTCATTTGATTGCCGCGAGGCTGATTCAGCCTTGCACTCATCGCTTACCACTCAACGCTCGCGACACTCCCCTTGATTCTCAACTACCTAGGTACACAAGTTGTATCTCGGTCGTGCTATTCATCAGCGGCACTATGTGTAGTCCGTAGGGCTTAGCCCGCCAATCGGCAACACCTTAGTATGACGGTCCCCTCCAAAGCCGATACGTCGGTCAACCCGAGAGTTCCTCACACACTCTGGACTGATGCATTTGAGAAGAGTCAAAGGTGATAATTGGCTCAGTCTGGACGCTTCCAGAGTAGACAAGATCGTTTGAATTGCTTTCTAACTCATGCCAACATCATTTGGCCTGGTCTATTGCCGACACCGTAGCGAAGAGGTCTAAGATAAGAGCCTAGGGAGGCGACTATTGATGGGAATGTAATGGACTGGAAGGTAGTGTTGTTTGTCAAGTGGACGCCTACTAGGCTCGGACCGTCGATGTTTGAGGTCGTTGGGGGGCCGGTGCTGAGAAGGGCGCGGCCGAAGTCCATAACCCATAAACAGGGTTTGGAATTGACAACCATCCTTTGAACTGAAATGAGGTAATTTGAGAGTCTTTTTCAGGTGGAAAATATGTCGAGCAGTTGATTACGACCTCCTGGAGAACTGATTTGTGGACCTGGTCGGTGGTTTGCACGTGGTTCGGGCCATACTCGGCGGCACAGCATTTGTACTTGTGTAGTCAAATCTCAATGAGGCAGAGGCAGCAAGTCCTGTAAGCAAGCCTTAGTGTCACCAGACACAAAAGGGAAGGGAAGCTCTCCCGCTTACCTGTTGGCCATCCGTCAAAGCACAGGGTCAATATTTCGAGTAATGGACCCATGCCAACTTCATCACGAGCAGCTGACCTGTCGCAGCTTCCAAGGCCGCACAAAGTAGAAGACTTGTGGCGCTGAGCTTCATATTGATCAAACTCCGAGTAGTGGATCAGTGACAAGATTGATACTGAGAGCTACTGCTCCAGGAGAGGTGTGCATGGCCACAGCTGCCTGTGACAAGGTATGTATTACCCCCAGATCTGCATAGACTCGACTGCGAGCGGCCATCTGTTCGGTGGCTGTGCCAAGTAATGAAATCATAGCGGGAACTGTATCCGCGCTTTTGTTGGCCATGGGAATCTGCGACCCAAGTCGAGAATATGAGGATGCTTACGGCAAAATTAATGATTGGTGTACCTCCCGCAGCCCTTCAACTCCTGGGGTATGCCGTATGGCATGGAGCAACTTGTCAATTGATCGACGCCATGGTGACGAATGTGACATCCAGCAAGATTGACGAGGTTGGGTGAGAGCTTTGTAACATTGGAGTAGGCTCCGTTTCAAGTGATGCGGCTCAGAGGATGCGAAGTCCACAGCACTCAATCGATTCTGGCCGCACCACTGCATGCCTTCTCCACCAGAGCTTCGTCAGCTCTTCCACAAATCTTTTGTCCGACGCGCTCCAGCTATCCAGTCCCATTTGCACCATGTCTTCATGATTGATCTCAACATCGGCCTTCTTGTTCTGCTCAGCTAACAGAGGTCGGCTGTCCTCAGCCAGTTGATCATTGGAGCTTGCATCGTCTTGGTCATCATTGTCGTGATATCTCTCCTCGCTGCTGTCGTTGCCGTCTGCCCTTGCAATAGCAGCTGCGACAGTTTGAAAAATAGCCGCGGTCATGCGGTGGAAATATGCCACAACTGCCACTTCGCGAGTCTGCTCCTCCTCTGATCCATCAAGCAACAGTGACGAATCACGTTCTATTTCGTGTTCTTCTCCGTCGGCGAATCCTTCGCGCCGATCGCCAGCCGATGCCCACCAGACGAAAGAGGTGTATGCCATTCGGGACCAAGACGCGGGCTCCACTACTAGTTTGTTCGTCGAATACGAGGATGAAAGTGAAGAAATGGAGGAGGTCTCGTCATCGACGGCGGTCGTTTCACTAGGTTCCAATCCTCGCAGACCACGTATGAGGTGCGCGAACCGACGAGAGTCTCGTTGGGTTGCCCTGATGGCGACTTTGGGAAAAGCCTTGGTTAATTCTGGACTTGAAACAACAATGCGAGGGAACACTTTTGCCGAGGGATATTGTGAGCGCGGCTTAGGCATGAGCACAAGGACATCATAGAGGTCGGGTTTCGAGGCAAGTACATCATCCGTTGTGCAGGAAATGAAACCGTGGTCGGTTCCGGCAGCTCCAGCCTGCTCGAGCTGGGGAATGTCCGTAACCCCAACAGTGAAGAGAGGACGCAGCCGAACACTGTGAGTATCGGGCTCGTGGGGCAGAGGCAGAAGTGACTTTGCTACAGACGAGAGGATGGAGAGATTATACACTGTAAAACACGGTCAGGATATGACCAAGTTTATCAGGTAGATTCATCTTACCAAGATTGCAACAGAATTCCACGGGAGTCTCCGTGATGATCAAGATCCGTTTGTGAAGTAAGGCTGCTCGATACAATGGAAATATTAGAGGCCCAAAGAGCTTGATAGAATCTATCAGTGTAAGCGCAGGATGGTGAGGCGTCAAGGCATGATGCGGAGAAATAAAGGTTGTTGCGGTAGACATTGTCCTGAACTTGAGATAGCCATTGGGGCGATGACTTAGGTCCTCTGCCGGAGATTCAAGGGGCGTCTGTGAGGAGCGCTCCTCCGGCTGCAACTTGTACTTCTCCCAGTATTGTTCTAGAGCGGTAACACTTTCCGGGTTGTCGATTTGTGCCCTAGTCATGTCAAAGATTGCAGCCGAGAGCATTATATCATTGGCGCTTACCTTGCGAGCTCCATTAAAGACTCTGCGTGGCGCCAGATCCGTCCAATGCGACCTTGCTCCAAAGGAACCAATGCGCCAACAGCCACCATTCGCGCAGCGCGTTCCGCCTGCGCATCTGCTTTGTTGACGAAGGCACTGAGGCCAGCGTAATCATCGTAGATAAAGTATCTTCCCCCATTGTTTAGCAACAGTGGCTAGCTCTTGAATGTATCACTCACACCAAATCCTCTTCGACGTTGTGCAAACCAGAAGGCAGAGACTTGAACTCGACAAACCCTTCGATGGGGACTGCAGATTCGAGTCAGTGTGTGAGCTGGGCGTGAAAAGTATTGTTGGGGCTTACTGTCTTCAAGTGATCTATGCCATCCCAATGTGTATCTGCAGGATTGTTAGCATGCGCAAAAGGCCTGACTTGCACAGGCAGGCATACCCTTTGCGGTGGTCGAAGTTAACCGAGAAGATGGCGAGGATTGGCGGAAGGAGCGGTTCGTTGCCCGTATCGATCCTCAAGGAGTTCGAGGCCTGGTCTGCCATGCAGGAAGACGCTGTCGCATAACGACAACATAGACTGTCGTGGTTCTGAAAATGGGGGCGTGTGGAGCAGTTTCAATTGAAGCCGGAGATCTTCAACTGCGCTGCTAGCAAAATCAGATGTCAAATGACGCCGATACGAGCAATTCAAATGACAGAGATGGGCCATACCCGAAGCATTCATACTACGGCTGCAAGGCAATTTTGGGACCTGCCCAAATTCTGTGGCCATTTGCATAAAGACTATGATTCATTGAAGCTGAGATACCATCCTACTCTGAGCCGTCCCTTTTCGTTATATATGTGGAATGAAGTTCGTCCACTGTATATTGAGATATGCTGTCCCTGGTACGTCTCTCAATTCAGCAAAGGCTTCCGCGATCAAATAGAACCGCGCCACTCCATATATAATGGCCAACGGCGTTATCGTTGCAAACTCCCAGGGTAATGGCAGCTGGTTGGATTGTCTCTTCATTGTGGCGGTTCTCTGCGCCATATGTATCTTGTGTTCTGCCAATGCTTTTCTCTTGAAGACGAATAAGTATAACGTCCTCCAACGGCCCAAACGAGTCCATGACGCTGCTGTTTCAAATACCCAAAATGCTGCAGTAATACCGAAAAGCAGAAGCGAGCAAATACGCCAAAGAAGCTGCTCCGTGCGGCTGGGGAAATCAAAACTCCAGCCTGCGACATGAATGGCGGTGAAGAGCAAAGTGGCAAAGCATAAGAAATATTCTTGTACACCGTAAGGATTCGTTGGGAATCTGTCGTTCGGAATTCGCTGAATCGGCCTCTCTGTAGGAATAACCGGCATCTTCATGAAAGGCTGCACGTTGACCGAATATCCAGGGCCGTTCTCGTCGATGAAATCGAGAGGTGTAAGACTCCATTCTCGGTTGAGCGTCATCTCCGCAAGCGAGTGCGATGAGTGGATGTGGATGGGCATTTGTATATCTGCAGGCTTGTGAAGCCAGAAACAAGACGTCATCAGTGAACAGACGACAATAGCGATTGCATTCAGCTCCAAAGTCGTGATCGCCAGACCTTGGGTGGCACGTGCAATGCACTGGACAATCAAGTAGCCGATTTGGAACGCAGTGACGACCTTGGTAAATGTGTCTTGCTTGGACTTGTCCCAGATATCTTTGCGGGTAACGGCGGGGTATTCGACGAATTTGTTGACAACAAGCCAATGAAGCTGAGTTGCATTAAGTGGAAAGGGTTCGCCGTCTCGGGCGTGAAAGATAAAGCCACCCATGTCTGCAAAGAATGCCTGCCGCATATGCCACTCCTCATAATTGTACGCCTTGAAGGACACCACGGATCGTTTTGCTCGACTCCATTGGCCTGCGGCATATGTGAGAGGAAATTCTGGGCCCAGGATACCAAGAGCCATCCACAACAAGCGGCGGCCAAATCGGGTCGTAATGCTGTCTTTAGGAGCAGGCACATTGAGACACAACATGCTGTAGGTGCTGATAAATATCGTCACGATTGACGTCCACAGAATATCAAATGTCCCTCGATAGCTAGGCTGGCTCACCCATCCCTTGATTCTAGTCGACGACGAGAAAGAGCTTTGTAAAGTGGTGGCATTCGAACAAGCCGAAGGAGCTGTCCCAGTTGCATTGGACTTGTTCTCGTGCCCCTGGCATATTAGCGGAAAGAGTGATAAGCTCAAGAGAATCCGAATCTGCCATCTCCCCACCCGTTCCGTCCCAGAGAATCTTTTGCCGGGAGCAATACTGCGCATGGAAGGCCGTGAAAAGGGGTTTTAGAGATCATTTGTCCCTGATAGCGAGGGAGAATAAGGGAGAGAAAGACCTTGCCGCTCCATTTAAGAACTGCGAAACTGGGAAGAAGCGCCGAGTGTCAACCACCGTAGTTATCTTCCGGGAGCTGAGACAGCTGCCATCCCTTCCCTGTCCAGATCGGCCGGTTCTGGCGGCATGCATGGCTGCAACATCGACCAGGATCGATGTCCGGTCGGGGCCAGAGACACCCTAGTTAGTCCCCAAAAGTACCAGGCTGCACCAGAAAGGGCGTGCGTCGGGCGAAACACTATTAGGAGCATCTCACGAAGTCAATCACTCATCGGAGACGATGGATTCTGCGCCGCATTTCTGAAGTCAAATGAAGCAATTCATCCAAACCTTGGTTGGAGAATGAAGACGGTTCGGGCCGTGCAGCTCTTCACGGGGAATTGGAGTTCCAGCCCTTCAATGAGTGAGATTGGTGTTTGGTGTTTCAAAAGCAGGACGACAGTTGCAGGGCTTATGCCTGAGGGGCTGGTGCTAAGCGCCTGGCTGGGAGATATGGAGTAGAGGGCGAATTGAAACTCGCAGCGGGAATAGGCGCGTACTTATCATGTCTCGAACATACATGCATACCTGCAGGGGGTTTGTATGCATTCCGGCACGATTAATGGCAGGCTGACTCCATATCCTGTTTGTTGTTCCGTTCTTTTGTAGTTGATGATGCCCGTTCCCAGCACTGACGATTGTGTGCTGTTCAGAAGTTGCGATGATGACATTTTTCTCGGCAATCGTTCGACCTCTCCTCATCAGCGTCGCCGCAAGCGTTGGCTTCTACTTCGCCTTTCTCACCCTTCTCACTGTCCCTTCGCTCCAAGACCATGCGATATACCTGCATCGCGTAACATTGACCTGGTTCCAAGATGTCAATGTGCCCGAGCATTGGGGCTTCCTCCGAAACCAAGTCACCCCGTTTCATCTCCTTACGCCAGACGGCGAAACCCTTCACGCGTGGCACGTCCTGCCGCTCGAGACATATCGACAGAATGAGAAGGCGCTGAGAGAAGAGCCCGCAGGGCTGTGTCACAATATCAAAGAGAGACTAGGCTTCAAGCTACTGAGGGATGATCCAACCGCCAGGCTGGTGATATATCTACATGGAGCAGCAGGAACATTGGGATCAGGCTGGCGACCGCAGAGCTACCGCGCTCTATCTGCCGCGGCACCCAACGTCCATATTCTCGCCATTGACTACCGCGGCTTCGGCACGAGCACTGGGTGGCCGTCGGAAGCTGGCCTTCTGACCGATGCACTCACTTTGGCGGAGTTTGCATTGAAGACTGCTGGGATTCCCCCCGAGCGCATCGTCCTCTTCGGACAGTCGCTAGGCACGGCAGTCGGCATATCTCTCACGCACCACCTAGCTCTACAATCGCCAACCACCCTCTTTGCAGGAACTGTGCTCATAGCGCCATTTGCCAATGTCGAACTTTTAACCCAAACGTACAGCATTGCTGGCACCATCCCTCTTCTTGCACCCGTGGCACGTTGGCCCAAGGCTCTAAATTGGCTCAACAGCTTCATCATAACCAAATGGCCATCAAAGGACAAATTGGCCGAACTCATTCGTCGATTGGAGGCTCTAAAGCTTCCCGAGAGGAAAAGAAGATACGACATCACAATCATCCACGCACAAGACGACTACGACATCCCGTGGACACATTCGGAAATTGTGTTTTGGCATGCCGTGAATGCAACAAGAGGCCCCGAAGCGATCCTAAGTTTTGAGGAATTAGAAGTTGAGAAAGCCAGGCGGAAATCAGATCTTGGAGATGGTGGGTGGGAGGTAGACTGGAGAGGCGAGGCCGGAGTGCTGCGAGAGCAGATCGTGAAGCATGGGCTTCATGATCGAATCATGAGTTATCCGGTTGTGAGTCTCGCCGTTGCACGAGCATTTCACAGCCAGGATCCGGAATAGACATCCTGCTATCCTGTCCGCCTTGCCCAGGTCAATCAATCGGACGTGCAAATGGATAGGCTTCTCAATGTGCTGAATGCTCAGCACCCGTCTCATTTCACTACGACACGGCCCCGAAGTATCCGCGTTGTGCCACGATTGTCTCTCAGCACAGAGGTGAGATGTTGCAGATGTCATTCCCATGCCGCCTCGCGGCTCCGCAGATTCGGCGACATCCTCGAACGCTTTTGGATGGCTCTAGGAATGCATATATACTGAAGTTGACCCGTCTCGGGTGATACACCTGTCTATTTGAAGGCCAAGCGAATAAAGGTTTAAAGATAGGCAATCAAGCCATTACTGGTGACCGTCAATCTCCATTCCCGAAATATCTCCCTGGTGACTTGAAGCCTCAATGGTAGGCCAACGAGATAGAAGTTTCCACGCCTTCAGCCGAGGCGGTTCAAATCATCAGGTTCATGTGCCTCGTAGTTGACCCATGACTAAACATGCTTGGAGAGGTTCGTGCTTCGCATCAAAACCACAAAAACACCACTCGGTCCTCGCTACACCGGCATCAGCATCGACTTATTTACTAATCTCTACTCCATCCTTACCTAATCGAGCCGCAACAGATCGTTCTTTTCCGCCTCGCGAGGTGCCCAATTTCTTTCTCTTCTCGTTCTATTCTGTTTGTCGAGGCCCTGGCAGGAAGAAACACGGGCTTTTAAAAGATGGCTTCCAATTTGTAAGACATACAAAATTGATCCTGTTCCTGCACGAAACGCCACGTTTCCAGGATCGAACGGAACCGCGCTGAAATCTACGAATCGCATCACGGACGATTGCTACGGCCTGCTGGGGCCTGCACTTTTTTCCCATCTCACAAAAACAGGTCTAGCAGAGTTTGAGTACTAGTGCATCTAGCCTAGGCTTTCATGGGCGGCTCCGATTTCTGTATTGCTCGGGTTTAGGCAAGTCAATAACCTCTCGTTGTGGACCAGGCCATCACTCCCGAGAATTTGACTTGATGCAGAATGCCGCCAGTGCGCTTTGTCAGCCCGCTGGGGGCTGGCGATCTTGTATTGACTCTCATGGTCATGGGGTCGAAGTTGGAGGTATGCGATTACGTGCAGGGATACACGACCAGAACCCGACTCCATGAGGATGTATATAGGAAGACTTGGTCAACTGAATGAAAATCTCGAACGACGCTCAGCACCATCAAGACATACCAGCTTCCATCTGCCAATATGGCCCAGACATTCGTTATGCGAGGGGTTGAAGGCAAGGTGAAGAAGACACCGGCCGAGATCCCCGAGCTCAAGCCCAACGAAGTCCTCGTCAAGATCACCCACAGCGGCCTCTGTGGCACCGATTTGTACTACATAGATCCCGGCTGTGCTCTGGGTCATGAAGGCGTCGGCATCGTTGAGAAAGTTGGGAATGCAGTGACTGCCCATAAGATTGGTGACAGAGTGGGTGGAGGATATCTTAGAAGTGTGCGTTTCCGTGCCCTCAAGCGAAAAGGACCACCTTCTCTCTTGGGAGACGATGAAGTACTGACAACGATGTCTCTCTCTAGAGCTGTGGCCGGTGCAAATACTGCCTCACCGGCAGAGACATCATGTGCTACAACAGAGACGTCTTCGGCTTCGCAGGCTTCAGTAACGGCACCTTCGCGACCTATTACGTCGCGACAGAAGGATACGTCTATCCCATCCCCGAATCCATGCCCTCGGAAATCGCAGCACCTCTTCAATGCGCTGGCGCCACGGTCTACTCGGCCCTAAACACATACTACCAGACAGGCATGCGCGTCGGTGTGCTGGGTATCGGCGGGCTGGGCCACTTGGCGATCCAATTCGCCGCAAAAATGGGAGCGCCGACCACGGTTTTTAGCACGAGCCCCAGCAAAGACAAAGAGGCACGCGATTTCGGAGCCTCGGAGTTCGTTGTGCTTGGGCAGGAGGACAAGTTGGAGGCCCCTGTTGATGTGTTGCTGATTACGGCCTTCAAGGCTCCCAATTGGTCGACGTAAGTCGCTTGCTTTCCCAGCGGAGAGGAAATCCTCCATGAAGGAACACTGCAGCTGACCGGAAGCTCGACAGGCTCATGAGCGAGAAAGTCGTGGCCAGAGGTGCATCCATCGTGGTACTGGGAGCCATCGGCACGACCTTGGAGTTCCCGTAAGCTTCTCTTCCCCGTCTCCCTTTTTCCCATTGATTGCACTGTCCCCATCCCCCGATACGCCTCGTACAGACTCGCTCGCAGACGTCTATTCATTTACTCACATACTTTCTTCTTCATCTCGCCGATTAGATTCTTCCCGTACTTCTTCAACTGCTACAACTTGGTGACCAACCTGGTGGCGTCTCGCGCCACACACGCGGAAATGCTCGCTTTCGCCGCCCACCACGGCGTCAGGCCTCTGATCGAGGAGTTTCCGATGGACGAGGCCGGTGTGGCGGAGGCCCTGGCGAGACTGCAACAGGGCAAGGTCAGGTATAGGGCTGTGTTGAAGGCGTGAGCCATCACCGAAGCTTAGAGGGAGAGGATGACAAGGATGCACCAAGTCGAAGATCGGCGGTACGAAAGTCAAAAGCGGAAAACCGAACAACCAAGGACGACAATGCTTCAGGGTTGGTTGCTGGATTCTTTTCCTCGTTTGACTAGGTATTTTGCGGTCCGCAATTTCGCTGAGAGAAGCGAAGCACATCTACATATTAATGATTTCCGGAGAGTCTACTTCCAGCAAATGGCACAGCAATAGAGAGAATGCACTGTTCACTACGGCAGCCACACGGGGCGAGCCAGGGCGAGACGAGACAAGGCGGCGTAGCTAGATATATATATATTTAAATACACTCGGTACCTCGCTCGAAATCATGCATCCCTCAGCGCCTCTCCTAATTGTTCATTCAAGGGGTTATCTATACTCCAGACGCGGTACTCTATGTGTATACGGGGTATATGCTACGTAGTTGTTATGTCATTGCTCTATACTTCGTGGCCTCCCTAGACCCTCACCTCTCAGGATATCACAGAACTCCATGCATGTAAGGTACGGAAAGGGGTTGAGTACTCTGCCTAACCAACCGCGGATGATTCTCATTCCTTCGTGCCCGAGCCCAAAGAGGAAATGAAGAAAGTGGTGTTGCTTCAAATTTTCCCTCGCTCTTACTCTCTCCGCTCGCCCCTTTAAGATTGGACGTGGCGTCATGTTTCAAAATAGAGGAGGGAATCAGAAGACCTGTTCAATAGAGCAAAAAGAAACACATGAAGGATGAATGAAAATTAAAAATTAACTGCAATGAATCACTCCGTGTATATCTTCCTATTTACACAGTGTTCGCAAAAGGGAGCACGAAAAAGGGAAAGGGAAGAGGGGGAAAACAGGGGATGAACCACTCATCCCTACGTCGCAGAGGGGCACTCGGGGTTATCGCTCGGGCACTCGTAGGCGGCACAGTTAAAATTGCTGCAGGTGCCTTCGATGAAGACGCCGCTATCCCAGCCCGCAGAGGCTGGGATAAACGAGATCTCGTCCGAGTAGAGGAACTGGTGGCACTCCCCCGTGGCGTCGTTGTAGGTGAAGGCATCGCAAAAGCCGTTGCTGTCGCACTCTTCCAGGCACGCCTCGTAGCTGGGCTGTGGCAATATGTCCCAGTTCGGGTTCGAGTCGAGATACGTCAGCTGTGTGCCGCAGTACACTGTCCACTGGCACTGGCCACAGCCTGGGCCGGGGACTATCGCCTGGTCGGTCGGGCAGGAGGTGAATTGTGTTGTAGTAGTTGTAGTAGTAGTTGTTGTGGTAGTAGTTGTTGTAGTAGTTGTTGTAGTAGTTGTTGTAGTAGTTGTGGTAGTCGTTGTAGTTGACGTGGTGGTAGTCGTGGTAGTAGGCACAGCACTAGTCGTAGTTGTAGCCGTAGGTATAGGAGTCGTGGTGGTAGTCGTAGGTATAGGAGTAGTGGTGGCAGCTATTGTGGTGATGGGACTCGAAGTAGAGGATGTGATCGCACCCGTTGAAGTCTTAGTCTTCCAGGTAGGTTCGACAGTAACCTGAAAGAAACAGTCAGAAGCGTATAGACAAGAATAAGCGAAGACCATACTGTGATGGTTGCTGGAACCTCGATGCACGAACAAGCCGTCTCTTGTTCATGTGGTGGCAACTGCTCTAACTGCTGCAGCAGCGAGTTGAGTGGGTTCGGCGGTGCCCACGAACGCTTGTGAGACCAGCCATGAGAGTGAGCGGAAGCCGTGACAGTGACAGTGACGGCCGGCTCAGGGAAACGGGCAGCACAATACTGCTCCGCTGGTCCGTAGTGTGCCAATTGAGCATATTGCCCGTAGATGCCCGAGTTACAGACCCAATCCGACCCAGAGCCAGTCCAGTCGGCCGAGGTTGGGCTTGAAAGTCCAAGGGCTGCTAGACCGAGTAGTTGGCACCACATCTTGAAAGCTCGAAAGGGAAAATCAAAATGCTTCGTCGAGATTGATGCCCAGGTACGAGGTACCAGGTAGAGTCGGGACACTTCTTGTACAAGAATATTATCTCTACAGGGGACAACCCTGATAATATACATAGTTCCGACTGAGAATTACTGATAAGAGTGAACTTGGAGACCTCCTTGCATTAGAGGGCGATTAGCCTCTGTGATGCAAACACTTGCGGGATAGATGGCGACCGTTGCGACCATTTGGGTATGAAGTCAGACAGGACGGGCCGTGGCGTCTAACGGCTGGAGCTAGACCGCTTTCCGAGGGCGACGCGAAATTCATCCCCCGGGGATACTCGGTATGAGAGGGTATTTCTCATTTCTCTCTTACAGGGCTGAAAGAAGCGTGGGCCAATGCCGGATTTGGCCTACAGGACTGACCTTGTGGATGCAGCCTAGGCCCGTTTTGAGCTGGCCAGGGGCCAAAGACGCCAGATGTGGTTCCAAATCTCGCATCGGAGAATTCCCACAGCTCCCTTCCGATGGTCGCTATACGAACGTCCTTTTTGGCGTCCAGAGAGCCTCTTGAGGGACATGTTCTTGATCATTCGTCCACACCTCGACGCCTCGTTCCAAAGTGTTTCGTTTGAGTGAGGACTTTTGCAGTTCGCAGTATTGCAGCCCTTTATGATGAACCGCAAGCTCCAGGCAGCGTCGAGCGGTGTGACTTGTCGAGACGAAACCCATGCACCTTCAAGGATGAGAATCCAATTTCAGGATTAGCGCTTGAAAGCCTCGCATACTTAGCTTGTCTTCCCAGACCATTACGCTCGAGTATGGGTGAATAACCATAAACATGCTGGTGTAGAGCTAGACACGCACGTAGGGACAGGTGACAATGCGCCTAAAGCCAATGGGTTCCTGCTCGCCTGGCAATGCACGGCGACGGCAGACTGGTCGTTTGCGATTCGCTCGGGCGATGGTCGGCATTGATCACGGAGTACTTGGTACATACCTCGTACTCCATCCTTCGCCTGATCTCTCCTCTGGTGTCGCCAGATTCATCCTTCCTAGAAAGGGACCCATGCTCGTAGTTAAATGTGAAGCTCGGCTATAAAACGCGGATGGTCCGAGCCTGTCGTCAGGCCTCAAATTCGTCATCAACATTCAGTATGTTAGACATCCTACCTTTAGAGACATTGACTGCCTCTTGTCTTCTTGAATATATACGAGATCCCGCCACCCCCAATCATGTCCTGGTCAAGAGTGACCACATACTCGAGGCAAACGTCGTCAATTGCGGACAAGATTTGTCCTTTCAGGTTCGATTCTCCGTCTTTCTGGGCCACGATGGAAGTGTCCACGTGCCTGTATTGCATCAGTTGATGCTTCTTCGCTTCGAGCTCAGTAGCAGTTGGCGGCGTATGTGCGCCCAAAGCCTCCTTAGCTGTGGTCCATGAGCTGCTTGAACCTTTCGTCGGCGACGGGGCTCTTGATCCCAGAAGTGGGGCATCAAGCCCTCTATCGTCGGATCCTTCTGTGCCATTCTCACCAGTGAACTGACTCTGGATATCATCAATTTCGCCTTGGCAATCTTCATCCCATCCTGCACCCTTGCAATCACAGTTAATCAGATCGTGGGTTCGCAACCCATCCCCTTCATCAAAGCGAAAAAGGTCCTTTAACTCCTCTTGACTGAAACTTGAACTGTTGCCTTGGGCCTTTGTCGCTGGCTCATATGAAGCGGATACCACGTTCGCTCCTTCTTGCATGATACTCTCTGCTAACGCTCTCTTTACAACTTGCCTTTGCCAAATGCGCTCTTCCAGACCACCTTTGATGAGAAACCTGTAGATCTTACAATGCCTCTGCTGACCTTGTCGGTGAATGCGCGCAACTGCTTGATCATCCGTCGCAGGATTCCAGTCCACGTCGAAAAGGACTAGGCGATTTGCCCCAATCAAATTCAGTCCCACTCCACCTGCCTTTGCACTCAAAAGAAACAGGAAGCACTGGGAGGCAGTTGAGCGATTGAATTTGTCCACGAGGGCTTGCCTCTTTTTTGCCGCGACCGAGCCATCAAGACGGAGAAAAGACAAGTTGGAGTTTGCTGCCAACTGTTGGATCAAATTGAGCGTGGACGTGTAGTTGGAGATGACAACAACTTTTTCATCTGTGGTACTGCGTATTTGCTGGAGAAGCTGATCCAGAAGACGGATCTTGCAAGAGACTGAATTTTGATATAGTCTTGATAGTCCCTCGGGAAGCATTTCATTTAACGTGACGAGCGATAATGAAGGTGTTGACTCATCGTTGCCGTAGTTAGGGTCCATCAATGCTGGGCTGTTGCAGAGTTTCTTCAGAATAGTGATCAGCTGAAATGCTGTCTCCTGGCTGCGCAACGCACTGTGGAACACAGGCGAGCGAAGAACGCTGCGGTATATTTTTGCCTGGGCTGGTGTCGGTTTGCAGAATAGGACATATTCAGTCTTCGGTGGCAAAAAGTCTGCCAGAATGTCTGCGGTTCTTCGTAGTATGAAGGCTGACGTCGTCCGTGCCAATTCTTCGCTAGCATCCTGACCGCGCTCAACTTCAGTTGGTAACGCATCCGGCTGACGGCTTCTCATAATGGGCTTCTCAAAATCCCGGCTGAACCTCTTTTGAGAACCCAGACATCCATCGTTCACGAAATTGACCATGGCAAAGAACTCACCAAGATCGTTCTGTATTGGGGTTCCCGACAGAATGATCCTCCGCTTGGTGTTTAGTGATTCAATAGCTTGAGCGGCTTTGTTCTTCATAGTTTTGAGACGATGGCCTTCGTCGCAGACAACAATATCAATAGGCTGCCCTTTGGCGAGATCATTGGCTACCATCCTCAATCTTTCATAACCAATAATCATCACCTGATAGACTTTCCCATCAAAACTGCTCAGTCGAGTATGTTGATCTTCAAACTCGAGCACCCCCAATCGGTCGGAGCCGAGCCATTTCCTAAATTCTCTCTTCCAGTTCCGAATAAGCGACACCGGACAGACAATGAGAGCTTTTTTGATGACAGGTGGATCCTTAAAGACAGGATTTTGACGCAATAGTGTCCATAAAAGAGCGATCGTGGTCAGTGTTTTACCCAAGCCCATATCATCAGCCAGGATGCATCCTTGACCGTCGAAGTTACGCACCCCCATAACACATTCGTACAGAAATTTTACGCCCTCTTGTTGATGCGGTCGCAGTTTCTTCCCGATCAGCGGATCCAAAACCACGTCCACGGTCTGTCGGCCTTTCGGTGGACTTCTGGGTCTCTTAAAGACAAGTGCGCCTTCTGCATTGGGGTCATGCCGTGGAGTGAGCGATTCACCCAAGCGTTGTGGAAGAATATTCGTTTCTTTCAATGGCTGTTTGAATGAGGTGACACAAGCGGGTTTGGGGGGCTGGTGCATGACCTGAGCCTTCTCTTTCTGTATTTGAGCTTTCATCTGAGTTTGTATACTTGGCTTTTTTTGTTGGACTGCGAAAGGTTTCGCAGGCTGAGACTCAGGTGTGGTCTTATGTTCCGTGTTTACAGATTTGGTCTTGGGACCGACAATTTCCAAAAAAGCATTCTTGCTGATTTGAGAATCGACCTCGACTTCCTTTCCGCTGATGGTCAGGTTTGACTCGGGCAGCAAGGGCGCAGAGAAGGCAGTGCGGCCGATGTTCCTTCCCGACCTGCTGTACAGGGTTGCGAAGCCACCCTTGACGGCGAGCACACCGTCGTCCGTCCAAGTCTTGTTCTTCTTGTTCGTAGGAACACGCCTGGAGAGATAGTGAGTGACTGGTCTTTCCTAGCATTGCGCATATTTCATACCATAAAATCGAGAAGTATCCCTCAATACCATCTGACCCAATGCCATTTGATTCCGTGACAGGACTCGGAGGGTTGAAGATCGACTTGAGGGGTTGTCTTCGGTCGTCATTGGAGGGGTTCTTCGCTGCTTGTTGGTTGGAGGGGCTGAGCTTCCTTCGTTTAGCAGGAGGAGTCCCGTGATCGGGAGTTTCGCTGCCGGGAACAGATTTGCGGATAGTGAGAGGCTTGAAAGGCTTGGAATACATGATCCGTTGCTGCGCTTCGGGGTTGCCTCAAGTCTCTCCTAAGTGCCGAGTACTCAGCGAAAGTCGGTCGCTGGAACGCGCAGCGCGTTCACCGTGAAAACGCGTGATCACGTGAGCATCTTCCAACTTGAAATGACCGAATGCTCGTCATGAGCAAATTACTCCAACTTCGCTTCGTACACCGCGAACTCTTTCGGACCACATTCTGTATGATGGTCCAGGATGGTGTTAAAATGCAGATTCGGAGAACATACGGAGCGATTGTACAGAACACCAAGCTTTGCCAAAATCCATGAATAAGATTGAAGAGAATTGTTATCCGATTACTTGACCGTATTGAATCTATCTACCCAATTGTTCTCATTCATATAGCCATAGCCAAAGGGTAAAATGAAAATCCACCACCAGTCCCTTCCCTTTCTCCTTTAACGCTCTCACTTCAGTCCACCTTACTTCTCTTCTGTACTAAAGCCGATCATAAAACATGGATCAAAGGATATTATCCGTTGTAGCGGTCTCGCCTATAACTTTCCGTTTCCTATTTCCTCTCCAGCATTTGGTTCAATCTCCGCCTCCTAAGGCCGCCCCCACCGTTAGACTCAGCATCTGGGTTACTTGTTGGAGTGCTCGAGAAACTCGATGTGGTGCTAGAGCTCGTTGGTGTTGACGTTGGATCCTCATCGACGGTCGACGAGGTAGTGGTTGGAGGCGGAGTCGGCGAGCTATCGTCAGTCGAGGATGTTGTGGTCGGGCCTGGGGTAGCAGTTGCTGGTGCAGCGAGTACGATATTTGACGTCGTAGTTGTTGTTGGATCTGGAGAAGCAGCTGTGGTGGCCGAGCTAGTTGCAGAGCTTGTGGATGTTGGGTTTGCTTCGACATCTGTAGGATCTGATGACGATGTGGCTGTTGTGGTAGGCGTTGAGCTTACCGAAGGTGTAGTAGAGCTTGCTCTATCCGCTGAAACCGTGGTAGAATCAGATGATGTGGTGGCCGCAGTCGAGGAAGTGCTTGACGCAACAACAATAGACGACGTTGTGGTGATGTCCACGGAATTGACCAAATCCGATGATGTGGTGGCGGTGACCGCCGACGTAGTAGAGGTCCCGGCACCCGAAGACGTAGCACCCGAAGACGTGGTATTCGGGTCTGCTTGACCATCAAACGCCAGGAAAGAGGTGGTGGTTGTGGATATAGACGTTGTTGTGGAACTTGTGGTGCTAGATGACGTAGTTGTAAGTGCCGAAGACGTGAAGTCGGACGATGTGCTGGAAGTAGGGTCTATCGCAGCTACATATGAAGTTGTACTTGTACCCAATGCAGAGCTCGAAGCTGCGGTGGACGAAGGATCACCGGGTGGGTCTGAGAAGCTAGTTGTTGATGCCGCCGTGGATAGAGTTGACGTTATCGACGCTGAGAGCCCGCTAGTAGATGTTGTAGTTAGTGTCCGTGTGGTAGAGTCAATGGGCGAGCTAATCGAGCTAGTAGATGTAGCGGACGTAGGGTCAGCCACGGGGTCGACAGAGCTAGACGAGATAGTAGCCGTGGACGCGAGAGAGCTCGTTGTGGCTGAGTCTCCGCTGGTGAAAGACGTAGTTGACGTTGTGAATGTGCTAGAGTCCGAAGTTGAAGTGGCAGACGTAAAGGAGAACGAAGACGATGTTGTAGGATCAGCTAAATCAGCAAAGTTAAATGTAGTTATGGTTGACGAAATGCTGAAACTTGTCGTTGTCGAGCCCGTGGTCAAGAACAGGGCTGCTGTGGTTGAGGCTGTGATTGAATTAGGGTCTGAAGACGTGCCCGAAGCTGGAATTGTAGCTGGGTCAGAAGATGTAGTCGGGGCTGGGTCAAGAGAAATAGTTGAAACTGTTCTTGAAGTTGTATCAGAGGCTGGGTCCAAAGAGGTGGTAGATAGGGTGCCCGAAGCTATGGTGGAGACCGAATCTGATGGTGTAGTTGAAAGCGAATTTGAGACGCTGGTAAAAGACAGCCCGGAAGGAGGGTCGATTGTTGTGGTCGGCGAAGCGGCTGTGGGACCAGACGTTGTTGAGATAAGACTGAAGGAAGTAGTAGCGGTGCTGGGGGTGGAGGCGGTTGGGTCAGCGGACGACGTGGTCGTTGCTACAATGTTGGAGCTTGTAGACCGAGACGTGGAAGAGGTGAAAGTGCTCGAAGGACTTGCATCTTGCGAGACGATCACGGCCTCGAGACTCATTAAAGAACCATTGGAAGGCGCAACATCCGAAATGCTCAGGTATGGGAAAGTGTTCACGATCCCAAAGAGCGTGAAGGTTTGGGGGGCTGATCCGCCGAAAGCGCTTGAGTAACCCAGAGCGCTGCATTGCAGGGTAGGCAAGCCATTACCCGTATCTGGGCAAACCAAGGCACACGACGCTGCCGTCATATCAAGAGCATTCATTATGCCCGGTGGCACAAATAAGAAAGAAACTAGACTCTGACCTATTGTTGGGATGCTACCAATATTGCCAGAGTCTGCTTCAATAAGGTTGCCCTGGGAGTTGAAGGTGAACAGCGCTGGTGTGCCAGAAGAAAATCCAATATAGTCCCAAGGGTAAGAGGGTGTACCGCTTGGAACGGAAATGGCTGGCTGACCATCCGGAATTACGCTGCTGCCGGAACTGATGAGCGAGAAAGTCGGGTTCGCTCCAACGCTGCACGGCTTATCGCTTGAAAGAGTAGTCGCGATGGTAGAGATACTGGTAGATAGAGCGGAGGGGTCAGCTGGCGTGGCAGAAGTTGTAATTGCTGGACTGGATGTGGTAGAGCCAGACGGGTCTGGATCGCTGGAGGTGCTGGTAGACAATGCTGACGTAGTGGAGCCGGACGGTGTTATTGACGCACCTGACGTAGCAGCAGGTGGATCAGAGGTTGTGCTTGATGGAGGAGCGGCTGTTGCTGTGCTAGATGGAGGATCGATAACAGCAGAATTCGACGTGGTCAAGCTGTTGTGTGCTGTAGCTGTAGTCGATGGATCCGATCCAATGGCAACAAGAGGAGAGCTTAAAGTTGTTGTTGATCCGGTTGTATGATCGGCACTCGAGCTAGGTGTGACAATTGTCGTTGTGCTGCTCGAGGCCGGGAGAGGAGCACCTCCACCCAAAACCGAAACCGAAGTAGTCGTTGAGGTCGCTCCGTCAGCGACCCCGCCAGAAGGACTGGTAGCTGTTGCTGTAGCCTGACTTGTTCCATCTAAAGCCGCGTTGCTGCTAGTGGTGCTGACCACATTAGCAGTTGTCGAAGACAAGATGGTGTTAACGTCTGTCTCAACAAGCATGACCGGAGTGCAGTCATCAGGCACGACCCCGTCCCAGAAGGTAAAGACCGTTGTATCTGTGAAGATACAGAATTGAGCGCCCCCAAATCCAATGGCACTAGTCGTTGTATCGAGGCTCCACCCGGCAAAGAAGGCCGGAGCATATGTGCCATCATCGCTGGTCTTGCGTACGGGTTCCGTCAATGTGTTGCTGTCAAAACCTATGTAGCCGGATTGTCCGCTGAATCCGAGGACTTGGGTTTGAGCGTTGAAAAGCAGTGGCCAGGCCTTGCTTGCGTCAGTCACAGCAATGGCCTCAGTCCCTGAAAAGCCGAGGTAGCTCGTAGCGCTCTGGCGTTTGTGCTTCTGTACATTGCCTGATAGAGAAATCAAAAAGCTGCCGTCACCCGGTGTGCGACTTGGCGCTGCGTCTGCTGTAACCTCCGCGGCAATTGTCGAAGAGGCCAAAGATGTTGACAATGCTCCATTTGGTGCCACAGTTGTCGATGATGGGACCGTGTTGGCTCTGTGCGGCGTGGGATCTCCACCAGCTTGCGTCGATGGAGATGTCGATGAGGCTGGTAGCACTGGGGTGCCGGCGCCTGAAGTACTGCTTCCGCCGGCTGGACCAGGCTGCGGGGTTCTAGATGTAGTTGATCCAGGGTTGCCCAATGGACCTGGTTGTGATGTTGTAGAGCCCGTTGATCCCTGTGTCCCGGCATTTGAAGCGCCTCCGCCAGATGGGGTTTCTTGCGATGTCGGAGAGCCAGCTGGTTGTGAAGCACCTGGGCTTGAGGCACCTGCAGCAGGCGGATCAGACTGCGACGTTGCGGAGCCAGTCTGCCCTGGAGTACCTGAACTTGAGGCACCGGCAGTAGGCGGATCAGATCGGGATGTCGTAGAACCCAACGGAGATCCTGTCGTGGAAGCATTTGCGCCGTCTATGGTTGGGTCACCGGCACCGGAGACCGGTCCAGAGGAAGCTGCACCAGAGGTTGGATCCGCTGTAGACGCGGCAGAAACCGGGGTTGAGGTCTTAGACGACTTGTGTGAATGACCGCGAGTGCTCGAAGGTGTTGAGGAGTGGCTGTGTGTTTTCACATGAGTAGGCGGTAGTCTTGAACTTTGCAGAATGGTCCCAGAACCACCGCTGGTCCATTTGCCATGGTCGCCGTCGCCGTCGCCGTTACCATTGCCTTTTCCAGAGCCGTCGCTATGACCGTGACCGCTACCGGCCCCTGTCCTATTCCTATTGCTCCAATCTGCCCATATGTCAGAACCGTCTGTAGAAGTTCCAGTATGAGTGGCCCCAGGAGCCCCTGTGTTCTCCCCTGGCCCTCCTCGATGGCCGCTGTTGCCCGCTGGTCCATTTGGACCGTCATGGCGTCCATGCCAATCGCCCCAGCTGTCACCAGGCGGTAGGTTTGGATCATTCAGGCTCGTCCAACCTTGACCGTCGTCATTACAGGTCACGAATTCGGTAGGATATGGGCAGACTGTAATCGTCCGAGTCTGCTTCACTGTGACCGTCACGTCAACATTGGTCAAAGCAGTGACAACGGCAAGGGAGGCAAGAAGAGCCACAGGAGTCAACATGTTTGCAAAGGAGTGACTAGAATAAATATAAACGAGTGGACGGCACCAAGTGCCAAAAGGCCGAAGAAAACACACTAAACCAGAGAATGGACAACGATGAACTGAAGTACAACAAGGAGTGACTTGAAAATAAGGGAGTAGAAGTGAAGGACTCACTCAGTTGGCATACCTATATTGCGACCGGACGCTCCTTTCGCCGCGCCGCCAAAGCTATGCATTCGATGGCTTTGTGGCATAAAGCCTCCTTCGCCCTTGTTGCCAGAGTTCCAAGGGCGGTATCAACCTCGTCATGCTTAAAGTGAGATAGTGTCCAACGTACAGATCCCTTTTCAGCTGCTTCCACATGTTAATGCTTTGAACCGTCCGGACCTCTTTCATGACTGGTGGATGCGAGAAGGTCTCGGAAGGGAAATTTGACCATGAACGACGTCAAGCCTCATTCAGGGGGACCAGGGACAGTAAGAGGTACAGCCGTGTTTATACCGGAACAGGTAAGACGAGGAGCCCCTAAAGGTAAAGTGGCGGCTAATCTGTCCGATAGAGCACAAATGTGGCTTTTGCCTCCTGCAGCGGGCCTGAGCCTTTGTCTTATCCGAGTGATCCCGGTGATCCCTGTCCTTGCGTCGAGAGCATCATCTGTCTGCTCTTTCGGAAACAGGAGTTCACAACTTTCAGATACTATCGATGCGGACCGTTTATGCTGACTCCTGGGACACTAGACTAGCTCAGCCTTTCGCTTCAAGTTGAATCCGCCTCGAGTCTTTTGCCGACTCCCGAAGCACCCAAGCAAGATCGGGTTTGTCATGAACCTCAACTCCACCTTCGCTGTCAGCCCTGCATTTCCGGCTCAGCTCCCTAGCATCATGTCATCTGGTCGAATATTCACCAGCGAGCGCGTCCACCGTCTAGACGAAGAATGACGGCAAAGCCCTGTGCCGAGAAGATCCTTCGTAGTGGTGGAAGATTTCACCAATCCGGCTTGGTCGATCGGCCTCAAAAGTTCTCGGTAGACCTTGAAGCAGTGGGTTAGACGATAGCTGGCGATGATCATCACATTCGAGTGGGTCAATAAACCTCGCAGTTATCGGATCGCGGCAAAAGAAGAGGATGGAATCGGGTGTTATCGATGAAACAGGTTGCTCGAAGGAAGAATTCCTTCCTTCACAATAACCCCGACTGAATAGCTACAGTACATACAAGTACAAGATCCGCTGTGGGTATTTGATAGAACTGTAGATCGCTCATCCCAAACTGCGTCCAAAAATGTACTCCCCCACTGGATGCCCGCGATCTCAGAAGATCGTGGTTCCAGGAGCCTGCACCAGATAAAGCGCTGCCTCAAACATGTCGTGGGAGAGGATGGCGGAGACGAAGAAGACGAATAGGACCCAAGGCAATGATACCGAGAAGGTGAGGAGGCTCGCAGCAGTATGGGTTAGTGGTGGACAGACGACGGGGAGAAAGCTCTCCTCGGGGTTACCCCTCGAATCGCTTTGCTTGGTGGCTGTCGGTGTACTCGGGACGTCTCCGGCTTTTTCACACATGCTAATCTCGGCATTCTTCTGACCTAGCTCGAGTTGATTATTCTTCGACTCAAGTTCGCTCTGCAATTTTTGTACCAGGGCCCTCAATTCTTGTATTTCGTCCATAGCCAAATCGACTCTCTTCTGTAGAACCAGCATGGGTGACTTTGCCGAATTGGGAGCCTCTGGAGGAGGAGTACACGGAGAAAGGGTAGCCCGCCGACACGGGGAGTCAGGAATATCAGATCGCAGTTTCAATGGTGAAAGAAGTCTTCGGGAAACAGGAGACCTGCTGGACCAGTCGGGCCTCATCCGCCACACCGGAAAAGGTGTGGTGGGTCCAGAGACGGCACTTAAGATATCAATTGGTGAGGTCGGAGACAGCGCCATGGTCCTAATTTTGCGGGCGCCTAGTGGTGTCCCACAGTGAGCGATACTACTGTTCAATGGGGTTTCGAATTCTCCTTCACATTTCCATCTGATTGTCCCAAATGTGGTGCGGAGGATCTTCATCAGAACCTCCTCACTTCCGGCAGCCGTATCGATTGACAGGGTGAGTGATGGCATAGGTGATATTGGCGGCGTCCCATTTTTCTTGAGAAGTTGTCTCAATGCAATTTTGATGACTGGGAGAAGATATGTCGATCCCCAATCCTCAATGGCTTCGATCCACCCTTGAAATTCTTTGAACGAACAGGTATCATCGAGGTTGAACCTGGAGAGTTCAGACATACAATAGCACCCGTCAGAATCGACGTAGTGATAGTAAATAAGGGCGGTGGAGTTGTCGATAGCGCAAGAGAACGATATTGGCTTTTCAAAGACCGGCCGAGGGCTGGTGCATTTCCTGAACAGGAGTTGCAAAGCCCGCACGCAATGGGCCCCCGCAATTGCACACTGATTTTTGGCGGACTGTACGGCATCTTCAGACGCAGTGTTCACTCGTTCGAAGACAAGGAATGGGCAATAGGTGGTTGTCCCAGGTGACACGGTGCCCGATTCGAAATCGACAATCGTCCCTGTTGCTGATGTGCAGTGCGGCAAAACCGACAATTCTCTCTCATTGAAGGCTTGCGTGGTGAAACCAGTCAACAGACCTGGTCGAGGGACAGGCAGCTCGAAAAGACTCTCTTGAGCTTTGACAACTCGCGGTGGGAGTGCCTCTCGGTTGAGCTTTGGGGCCAGGGATCGATGGAGGACAAGGTTGACGCCGGTCGTTGGGAGGACGTTGGGAGGGAACACCATGGATGATCCGAATCCCTTGTCATTCGCCACTTGTTTCCGCCATTCTCTCTCTTGAATGTCGAATCGGTTAAGCTTTTGCAAGCACGGCTGCAATCTGACAGAAAAAGGGCGTGAAAGCTCAGACAACTGAAGATTATCTGTGAATATGATCCGAAATGCACTGAGGACGATCGTTCGAAAGTCAGACCATCTAAGGTGACTACCGTCAATAGCTCTCAGCAGGGACACTGGCGTGTCAGGCAAAGGGCTTGAGGTCTCCATGGCTCGGGACGAAGAGTGAAACGACGCAGTCGTGGTGAACAGGACCAGACAAAAGGTCAACAGGCTGTCCTTGACTGGCACGCCTATTCTGGGGATGCTGTGCACGGTCGACCTCGAAGAGGGTGAGAGCATCGCAGGAAATCCGGTCAGGTAATATGTTCAAACCACGTGTCTGGCACTTCTTTTGTGACAACATGTCGGCGCCTATGCAGGAACACGTTCTTCAGTTCTCAAACAGTGCTAATGGTTAGTTAGTGCCATTGACACTTGCCCGTAACCCATCAAATGCGTGTCTTCAAGAATACTACGCCTTTCTTGCGCTGCTAGTCCCTACAGACACGCGGGATAGCAAGGCATGCCTCAGGGGTTTCATAGCTGCGACCCAAGGTCACAAAGACCACCCGGCGCGTAGACAGCCTCTCATGCCATGGATACTGTCTTGGACACCTCGAATTAAGGGACTATGGAGAGTCTAAGGACGGGAGAAGGTCGCCTGGTGCTAGACTTTCCATTTGTCGCATTGAAACGTGCTTATCGTGGCCGGGCGGCTACAGACAGGGTGGGCGGTTAGGAAGCTTGTCGATGCCTCACCATCCCCACGGACAGCAGTTTAAAAGAAAAGGCGCGGGGCCACATTATCTGTCGCCAATCAGAACAATGGACATCCCCTCCTAGCTGAAGACTGATCTAAGAAGGAGAAGAATGTCATTTCAGCCCCAGAAAATGATGCGACACCAGAATGATGTCTAATAAAGCGCTGCGGCAAGAATTTGGGGGACTGGCAGCGAGACCAATCAGAACACGTGCCATGCAGCGGGTACCTTTGCCGAGACCCAGACGCTAGTCCTATTTCAACAAATTTGTGCGGGAGGTCTTGGCGGTCTTACATAATCCTCGCAGTCTTCGTCTGTGCCGTTACTCCCAATACTCCATACCTCGCCCATATTTCATCTCCACCAAGGATGACTTATGACTTATGATGATGCGTCCATGGTCTTCGTGTCAGATCCTAACATGCTGGTAACGTCAAATACTAACCACTGCGCCCGCAATGACGCGGTTGTGGTGACGGGTTAGAATTCCCTCGCCTCCATGTCTGCACTTGCGTGTGTGAATCTCGCCTATGAGATTTTTGAGTTGTTCGTGTCAGCTTTTACCTTGAACGCGAGCTTACCATCGCAGAACACCATCATGAGATGCCGCCTTATCCTCACTGAGGCTCGATGGCCTCATCCTCGTTCCAAATATAGGGTGAGGGAGAGCGAAATATTAGGTAGCCAGGCCAGCCTGCTACATAAACCCTCGAGTCGACAGTCGCCAGAACAGCTAACGAGAGAACACTTCTTCTCAGAGCTTTGATCCTGTTTCTTACTGTTATTCTGCTGTTACCTAATCATGGGAGATGCTAGAGAGGCTAGAGGCCCTCTGCGAATAGCGATAATTGGCGGAGGTATAGGTGGACTAAGTCTGCTTTTAGGCGTCTTGAAGCACTGCGATCGACACGTTATCGAACCACACCTGTACGAAGCCACCCATGCATTTTCAGAGATCGGTGCTGGCGTTGGGTTTCTTCCCAATGCTGTACGAGCCATGCGCGCCATCGACCCTGAAATCTACAAAGCCTACTGCCGAGTCGCGGACCAAGCTCCTCCTATAAAAGTCAATAACCGAGATATGTCGGTTTTTTCCAATGTTTACATGGGTATGGACGGAAGAGGAGGGACCAACACGTCCAAGGCCTTCGAAGAGATTTGTACAATCCACAATGACAACAGGTTCCGCAATATCCATCGAGCAGTTTTCTTGGATGCGATGATAAACCTCTTGCCTGGCGGCTTCAAGGGAGGCCTGGTTAGCTTCAATAAAAGGTGCACCAATGTGCACGAAGTTGGAGGGCGTGCCAAGGTTCTCTTTGCGGATGGCACGTCGCAAACCTTCGATGCAGTTGTCGGTTGTGATGGTGTTAAATCCCGGGTGCGAAATATTCTTCATGAACGGGAAAGGTACGAGCCGCAATTCACGGGTAAATATGCCTACCGAGGGCTCATCCCAATCAATGATGCCATCAGTGCCCTTGGAAAGGAGACTGCAACGACCCAGGCTCTGTTTTTCGGCTATGGTGGTCATCTTGTCACATTTCCAATCGATCAAGGAAAGACGCTCAATGTTGTCGCATTTCGAGGTGCTCCGGAATGGAATTATGGCGGTAACTGGGTTGTCCCTGCGACTGTTCAAGACGCTCTTGAAGATTTCAAAGATTGGAGCGAACCGGTGCAAAAGCTGCTCTCCTTATTAAAAGAGCCGGATAAATGGGGTCTCTTCGATCTGCCCCCTGCGAAGACCTTTGTCAAAGACGGCAAAATCTGTCTTCTGGGTGATTGTGCCCATGCTTCGACACCCCACCTTGGCGCAGGGGCAGGTATGGCTATAGAGGATGGCGCTGTTCTCAGTCGACTACTTGGGGAAATCAAAAGGCCTGATGCAACTCAACTTCAGAGGGCTTTTGCAGCCTATGATGCAGTTCGGAGAGGCCGTGATCAACGACTTGTGACCGCAAGTAGGAACGCTGGTATGCTTTATGGGTTTGAACAGCCTGAGGTTGGAGATGATATTGGGGAAATCCGGCGTATCCTGAGTAATCAGTGGGACTGGGTTTGGGATTTGGACATCGAAGCACACTGCGAAGAGGCTATCGGAATGATGCACCGTCCAATATCTCTGAATGGTACCGCCTGAGGCACTGTTACTGAATTAATTGTGACTTTTGTTCGTCACATTTGAATCACACTAATCGTTCCTCCAGCATTCCCTGCTTCACAATGCATGTCAAGCACCTTTTACTTTTTCCCACTTCCCAAGTTCTCCTGGATTGTGCCTGCAATTTTTTGTTAGCCTGAAGGCGATGCTGAAACGCCATCGTAATGTCGTCCGAGTAAGCAGTCGTTGGCGGAAAAGGGAACCCACCTCCTACTGCTCCTTGGTCTGTGAACTGTTTTCCGATGGCACCCTTGGATGAGAAGGGGCCGCCGACTGCCTGTTTGTGGAGGTAAAACATCAGTGCATTAATTCCCTGCAGCCCAGAAGGTGTACCATTCTTCGGCCGAATCGATGGATCGAAAACTCTGTGACAGGTCCCATTCAACTCACCTCACCAACGCTGCCGATGGCTCCCTCCGCTGTGTGGTGTTAATTCGAGTGTTTCCGAGTATTGGATTCTCTAAACTCACGTTTGAATTGTTTGCCAACTGCACCATCCTTGTCAAAGATAGGCTTCTTGTCTCCCTGCATTTGTTCGGCCGCTTGGAATCGTGAGTGAGTTGGTCGAAGGAGTCTGCTCAGATTCTAACATACCCGATTGTGCGGCACCACCTGCAAGTTGCTTGGGGTCAGCGACCGACCTCAGATAGCACCTACAGTCTAAAGCGAGGCTTGACTTACCCACTGAACCCTCGGGCGTGAACTGCTTTCCGACTGCCCCTTCACTGCTGAGAGGACCGCCCACCTTTTCTCCCATTTGTCCAATGGCTGCCACCCGCAATTAGCCTGACCAGGAACTCACGGGGCGCTATGCTTGAGGTTTGTCCAGGAACAGAAAAGTCTTACATCCTTCTGGCTTGAACTGAGAGCCAACGGAGCCCTTGTCGGCGTCAAGTGCGGACTTGTCTTGGTCAGCCATTCCTGCGCAGTTGTGAGTGAGTGCCGGCGTTTCGCTATGAATCTGGACTGACTTGCTAAATACACCGAAAATAATCTGGAGTGCTGCAGGGGGATCAGTCGTCGGGCTTGCTTTGAATGGGTAACAACACGGTACATAGTTGAAACTGGATCGGTGAATGTAGATTGCTGACAGGTGATCCAGAGTCAACTAGAGGGTTATATTTAACATACCTGCAGAGGTGTCAGTTGGCAATTCCCGACATCATGAAGCAAGCACCTCTGCCGCCTCTTCGCATCATCCTGACGTCACCAACACAGCCTCGTGGCGTCTTCTTTACCTTTCTCTAAGAGCTCTTGGGTTACAGATTGATCATATGGCAGGCTTGACTTCCGTGAACCGTCAATAGGTGCTGGTTACTCGAGCAGCTCGAGGCACAGACAGCAGGGCGGAATTCGAAGACATTTTGTATTCAAATGTGCTGATCAGATCTCCGCAAAACACTCCTCCAGTGCCTCACCGTCGCCATCGACGTCATAACCATCGATGTTGATGGGCAAGTGTGATGATCCGATCTACAACTTCCCCCTCTCTCAAGGTTAACGCATACCCAGTACGCGCCCAGGAGTCGGTTCATCCAATCAGTGCATGAAATTGGAAGCTCGCGGGCCCGGTGATTACTCTCCTCTTCATCGCGTCAAGGACACTTTAAGTTGTGCGAGTACCTATGTAGCTTGCTAGGCAGCTTGAGGCGATAAGTGACGACGCGGAGAGGTCCAGTGAACTCGCTCCGCCAAATGGTGCAAATAAGACAAACATGACAAACACTCTGCATTTTTCTCACTCACTCCAACACACAAATGTAGACCATTTACGAGGTACTACGTTTTTCGATTTGGCCGTTGCTAGATACTGCCTGTGATGTTCGACTGAAGCTACTACAGAACACTGTCGTGAACGGAACTCCCTAAAACACGCTGCTTCATCTTCCTGCTTAGGAATGAGGATACAGACCTTGCAGCATGGATGGCGGCTTCCCGTCTCACAAGATGATGGCCCTGTTGACAATGCAGGAACTGCATGGCGACCTGCCTCCCATTTTTCTCACTTCTCGTCTTCTTTGCTATTCCGAATCTGCTCCATCTCACATCACTCACAAAGATTTGGCTTGACCAAAGGCCGAGGGTCTGTCTTTCATTGGCTTTTTTGGATCTCGATTGGAATGCCCCATTGTTAATCTCCTTGCTTTGCCTCAAGAGTGAATCCGCCCTCTTCGGCATGTTACATGGAAATTGTGAATTCACCCTTTCCATTTGTATCTTCAAATGATGGTCCTGCCGTAATATCGTCCGTTTGAGAGAAGACCAGCGCGAGGAACAATCGCTGTCAGGTCGGCAACAAGTCTCAATGACATCCACACCATCCTCCGCCAGTCGCATCAACGCGACGGCCATCGAGAACGCCTTCCCCACTCCTCCAACGGGTGATAATTGTTCAGAGAGTGCATTTCACCTCAAAGGCCGCATGTCTCCGGCCCCTCACAAATTTCTGCCCGTGCCACGCGCTCAGTCGACTCCGCCTGAGTTGACGCACTCGAGTCAATTCGCGATACTCACAAAGAGCTCACACGGGCAGACATCCGATGTGGCCAGCTTGGAACACTCGTGGAACAGGTTGCGCTTATCCAAAAAGAGGAGCCAATACTACGATGGTGCCTTTGCCTACCGCGAGCCAAATAATACTGCCAAGGAACGAGTTGCAAAGGACTGGGTAATCCTGGCCGAGATCAAGTTGAACTGCTGCGTAAGAGTTAGAGCCGTCTTTCTTAGCTGTTACTAACCACCAAGACAGGTCGAGTCGGAGAAGGAATTCCTCATCGATTTGTCCTTTCGACTGTCCGAGATTTATCAACGTCCTGCATCCTGCATCATGGCCATGGTTACCACTGACATTCCAATACTACTCGGTGGTAATTCTGAACCAGCATATCATCTTACGATTACAGCTTTACCTTCAGAAATAGCAGCCACCAAGAACAAGAGAAGTACACATTTGATCCAGGATTTTATTCATGATACACTTCAGATCCCGCCAAAGCGGGGCGTTGTGCGATTCGATGCCGTCCCGGAAGAGAACCTGGCAACAAACGGAATGACTGCGCTGCAGGAGATTGAGCAGCTTGAAAGGCAGTCTAATGACGAAGATGGCATGATGAGGGCGCTCAGCCGACAAAGAAGCCGCCGAAGCAAGAAATCCAGCGCCCCGACTTTCGCAGAAAGGTTTCGTGTTGGCCTTCCGTCGATCAGGTCGACGACTCCCTCGACTCAGTTTTTTAACACAATCGAAACCACAGAAATAAAATCGGCCATGGCCAGTGGCCCAGGCAAAAAGCGCGTCAAGGAGAGGCAAAGTATTCTCGGGTTCTTCAGGAAATGACAAGGACTTGGTTGGATTACGTTTCATTCGCCATCGACCAACCCAACACCAGAGATTTCATGGATAACGCAGTGACGCGCCTAGTATAGTAATGAGCAAGTATTGGCTACCGTCCATGCAAAAGTACATAAAGCAAAAACAAGTACCTGATTTTCAATGTCCGCGGAGGCCATGGTTGGATGAGTGCCTGTTCTTTGGCAGCGGCTATTCACTTCTACCTCACTTCACTTCATCTACGCCGGTAGCTTTGATCACTGTCGGTTCCTTCCCTTCGTGCGTCCATCAGGTACTTGGAAGAAAGAACCATCGAACTGTCATACATTATCAGCATCACTGACAGTTACTTCATCGGAGGTTCGCTCCTGACATGTATGCCAAACCTGTATTTCCTCGTCCTCACATATCCTCTCCTATCGCAATCAATAACAAATATGGAACTCAGCGACTTCACCAAATACTACAGGATACTCGGTCTCCCGAATCATGCATCATTAAAAGAGCTGGACGAGAGATATTTTGAACTCGTAGAATACTGGACCATGAAAGCTCGAGGATCCAACGACAAGAGCGGGCCAAAGCTAGAACTGCACCTTATCGACCAAGCTTACAAGGTCATCCTGTCAAAGGCCATGAGAGAGAACGAAGCGACGCGCAAGCCAGCACCGTCGACATACACGATGAAAGATATCTCGCAAGGTCAAGATCGAATAATAAGGTCTTGTCTCGACAATGGGGAGTCGTGGAACCCACCGCCCGAGGAGAGGTCCCCATCACCCCAGTTTGAGGATATACCTCAAGAGCGGTCTCCATCACCCCAGTTTGAGGACATTTCGGACAGACTTAGAGCCGGACCTGTTGAACAAGAGCCAGAGGATTGTTTAGGAACCGCGCCAGGGTTTTCGATCAGCGAGATCTCAGGCGAACTGCATCACGCTCCGGACAGGGCGGTCATCGTCCGTACGTGGCCAAAAGTATAGATGATCACAACTAACCATGCGTTCTCCAGATGCTGTCAACTGCCAGGGAGTTTGGGGATATGGAGTTGCACTGTACCTCAAAAGACTGGTATGAATACGCCATCTACTTCTATTCAATGTTGCTGACCATGCCAAGTATCCAGAAGCATTCAAGATCTACAAGGCGCACTGCGAATCCGCAAATCGACCGTACGACCTCATTGGAACTTGTTTGCTTATCCCTCCGCAACCATCGGACTACGAAAAAGAGATCAGGATGAGATTGAAGGGAACGGCGAATATCATTCCTCTGGGGCAATCAGTTTTCAGGCCACGGCGTTGGATCGCCTGTCTATTCACAAGCATCGGTTACGGCAAGCCCAACATGAAAACCAACAACCCTGGAAAGGATCCGCCAAACAAGATCATCCCTAATACACGAATGGCCCTCGAAGAACTCAGAGTTCGACTTGAAGACTACGGTCCCTCGAATTTTAACCCTAGAACCGCGTGGAAAACTGAGGGCGATAAACCAGGTGAGATCTGGAGCCCGAAATTCAACAGCGGCGCATTCGGGGTGGATTGGGAGGATACTCGCATGGTGATCGACGAGGAGTTTGAGGGATTCGAGCGGCCTTGGACTGTGGTGAAGTTCAATAAAAGTGAATACGGATCTCCGGATGATGATGGCGAGAACGATATTGACGAACGCAGAAACACCAGAGAGTGCTACGGGCTGACCTGTCAGGTGTAAAAGATAGGATACAATCGATAACTTCAATTACGAGGCACCAGAGAAAGGCGCTGAAGAAAAAGGGAAGTGCACCCAGGTTGGCTCCACTTTATCTTGGCATAAATCAAATTTCAAAACTGCCTATCGTCACTTGCATCCCAGTAGCCTAGCACTTCACTCTCCCAAGCCACCGGTGAACCCTTTCTATCTCGTAATGCTCCTGGAACCAATAATGGAAGCTCAACCTGGTGACACTCGTCCGCAAAAAAGAGTCAAACTCGACACTGACCAGGCAGACTTAACGACTTTGTCTCCTGATCAAGCTGGCGCCTCATCTACCATGGTCAAGAATCTAACAATGGATGACAGCGCAAAAGAATGCGAGGTAGGTATCACTGCCTTTGTCGACGGATCTAGAAGCCTCTTTCAAGGGATTCTCAAGAAGAGATATACAGATTTCATGGTCAACGAGATATTGCCTGGCGGAGATGTGCTGCATCTCCGATCGATGAGTGCCAAAGGCCTGCAAGTACAAGCTTCACACAACAATGGCGCAGAGGCTACCGTGCAAGGTGTCCTTGAAAATGTGGGGCACGAGGCAGTGGCATCGGAGCCTCCTATGGCGCAACGCGAGTCAAAAGAGACGAGGATCCTGGGAAAGGCCAAGAGTTTAGATGACTCTAAAGAAGACGACACCGGCATCCAGAACCCCGAGGTAATTCCCCGTCACTTGGAAATTCCGTCAGGACTGACGAGTTGCAGATTTCCGCTGATGATCGCGTTAAACTTCTCGAGTATTTCAACGAGCAAATTGTGGCACAGATGATCTCCCTGTATGAATCAATCCTTCGCAATCCTAGTAAGAAATCTCGAGAATATTCGACAGTTCGGACACCGTTCACCTCCGACCGCAGTCTGCGGTCAAAGATCCACCAGGAGATCCGTCGCATTTTCCACAGTAAGATCGACTCAACCACAGACAATGAGGGCATATTGGCCCTCACTGCAACAGCCTCGTCGTCGAACAAAAATCGTAACCGCGGCTGGACAAAGCCCAACGAAAAGCCTTCGCGACCGGGAAAACTGAGCTGGTTGGATCGTGGTGGCGAATATCTCCATTTCACTCTCTACAAGGAAAACAAGGACACGCTTGAGGTCATTTCCTACCTGACGAAACAACTCAAGACCAACAACAAGACCTTTCAGTTTGCGGGGACGAAAGATCGGCGTGCTGTGACCGTGCAGAGAGCCAGCGCTTACCGTATCGAAGCAGAGCGATTAGCTGCATTGAACCGTAGCCTACGATATGCGGCGGTAGGAGATTTCGAGTACCAGAAACATGGGCTGGAGCTCGGTGATTTGACTGGAAATGAGTTTGTGGTCACTTTGAGGGAGTGCCACCTTGGTGAATCGACGTCAGAACAGAGCACCGCCGAGAGGAAGGCTGCCATTCACTCCTACCTCTTACGGTCGCTCCATGAGCTCCACGAGCATGGCTTTCTGAATTACTACGGTCTGCAACGTTTCGGGACTTTTGCTACGCGTACCGACGTCGTTGGTTTGAAGATTCTCAAGGACGACTTCAAGGGCGCCTGCGATGCAATACTCGAATTTTCGCCTGTGGCGTTGAACAAGTCTCAGACCCCGGACAACGGCGTCCTCGTTAGCCAAGACGACCGATCTCGTGCTGAAGGGATCAATATATGGCGAACGACCGGCAGGATCAACGATGCTCTCGACAAGATCCCGCGCAAGTTCTCTGCCGAAACAGCTTTGATACGCCATTTGGGTAAACGCCCGCAGGACTATTTGGGCGCTCTACTTGGAATTCAGCGCAATCTGAGGCTCATGTATGTCCATGCCTACCAGTCTTTTGTGTGGAATCTTGCCGTGGGTGAACGATGGCGGTTATTTGGTGGTGTAGTTGTGGAAGGCGATCTAGTGCTGGTCCACGAGCACCGGGAAAAGCAAATAGCCGAGGAACCACCAAAGGAGACGGTGGACGCAGATGGAGAAGTCGTCATCGAACCGTCTGGCGATGATCGCGCCTACGATCTCGACGACAGGTTTGAGCGCGCCCGTGCCCTCAGCGCTGCCGAAGTCGACAGCGGCCAATACTCCATCTTCGACATCGTCTTGCCTCTGCCGGGATTTGACGTCGTCTACCCTGCCAACGCGAGCGGTGAATGGTACAAGACATTCATGGCGAGCGAAGCAGGCGGCCAACTCGACCCGTACAACATGCGTAGGAAGCAAAAGGACTTTAGTCTGAGTGGCGGGTACCGCAAAGTCCTGGCGCGGATCGGAGAGACATTCGAGGTCAGCGTCCATGAGTACGGCGACCGAGACGGCGACAAGCAATTCGTCGAGACCGACATGGAGCGGATCCAGCGGGAAAAGCGGGCGTTGCAACAAGAAGAACCGTCCGAGACCGCTGCAAATGAAGGTCCAAGCCAAACTCCGACAAAGGACGTCGCCGTCGCCGCAGAGCACCAGGATCAGCAACCGCTACACGGGGCGGACGCGAAAGACAGCGACAACAACGGCGAAATACCCGAAAACCCCACGCCGCTGCCGCAGAGCAGTCCAACACTCAAGCTCGCTGCCGTGCTCAAGTTCCAGCTCGGCTCAAGCCAGTATGCGACAATGGCGCTGAGAGAGCTATCCAACGGCGGTATTCAGGCCTACAAGGCCGAGTTTACGGGCGGGAGGTAAAACAACGCTCCCTGACCCTTCCCCGAAGAAACAAAAGTAACAAAGAAAGAAAGACCAAAAAAATGAGGGAATCAATGGGCGTGCAACTTTTGATTAAGGAAGTAGATATTGGGTGTGGGGAGGGAGGGAGTGTGGACTGGTGATCGTGATGATGCATGATGTGATGAGCTACGGGGTGTGAGGTGGTGTGAGAGAGAGTACCAGGATATCTCTGTGGATGTCCATGGCATTGCGGCTGACATGGAGCATTAAATTGAGAGCGTCCTGGTTTGTAGTGTTTTCCATCAAAGTCGTGCTGACCGAAGAGCTCACCAAGTCCTTCCCCTTGCTCTGTTACAGTCGAGTTCCCTGCGACTCTGAAAGTCCCTTGATTCAACAAATACAGGTCCTGCCTTTGCCTTTCACTCAAGACTTTGAGGGCTAGGCTCATGAATCGCCAGCCATATTCTCCGGCTAACATAAATAGTGAAGAGACAGGAGTACGTCGAGGATTTCCGGCGTATCCATGCCGTTGCACAGAGGAGATCAAGTCATCGTCAAGTCCGGCTCGTAGCCTTCAAGCATCACCAAGGCAGGAGAGACAAGGACCGGTGGTGCCACACCGCCATTTCTGTCATGGGCAAACACAGCGGGACGGAGACACACATAGACCAGGTCACTTTTGCCGAAAGCTTGGTCCTCTGGATGAGCTGGTTCCATCCATTCCGCCTCGAACGGGTGTCCGACTGCCGGGAGCCTGAAGCCGTACAATAGTGAGCACTTGGCCATAGTGGCCCTCGTGTCCAGCAGCTCGAGGAGACCGGTTTGGACGCGCTCTTGCCACTGGCGCAGTTGTCGATCTTGGAATTCAAACCCCTCGCCTGCCGCCGACTTTCCCTCTCTGACTGCCGGGGCTGATATGCTGATGAAGACGTTGTAAAGCTTCTCCTGAAGTTCCGACGCACTGGATGACAGCGCGGGCCTAATGACTTTGTCGATGTATTGGTTGACTCTCTTCACACTCACACCCCGAGCGATTTCGTGGTTATCTGTCACTTTTGTCAGTGATTCTCACCAAGAACGATGGGGGAGGTAGCTGGCACGTACACTGCTCACAGATATTGAGAATTGTACATTGCTCACAGTCAGACGAGGGGATATGTGCAAGGTTGGCGTCGAATGACTTCAGCGCCCATTCGTATATTGCCGCAGCAGTGTAAGCACGAAACAGGGTCCGTTCGGACATATGAGGCCCAGCGATCAAAGCCTTTAGACGTCGCTCTGTCTGTCCGTCGGTGGGCGAATCCACCAACAAACGAGTCAGCTCCAGCGGCTCACCTGTCAGTCTTGACGAAGTTGGCATCACGATCCTAGTGCCCAGCATGACGTGGACGAAGGTTTCGTCGATCTGTTGCATGGTTTTCTGCAGGACGTTCTGGATATGTCGCTTTGGAAGAGGAGGCTCGTAGCCCGTGCTGCCGCGTTGCTCTCGAAGATGGAGGAGAAATTGCAACTCCCATTCTTCGAGTTGGATTCCACTGGAATGAACTGGGGGGGTTCTTTCGGCTTCGTCGTCCCGAAAGTCAACCGAGATAGTGTCGGAAGGAGAACTTGATGTCGGCGCACTACGAGAACTTTGTCCCGCCCCATTTGAAAGAGAAGGACGCAATGTTTCGCCACCATCACCCTGGGCAGTGCTCTCTCCAAGATCTTCAAGGTTGAAAGTTGAGCCTTCGTTCAGCGTGTTATCGGTCTGAGGTGGGTATGTACTTGTAGATTTTCGTTTGCCGCCCTCAAAATGGCTTCTCATCTTGGGCCCGTAGTCTGCCCAATTCCGGAGAAGCGTATCTGGCTTCAGCCCATGGGTGCGGCCCAGGCCCACAATTTTGTTCGTGATCTGCTCCTTGGTGAAGACAGACTCTCCCACTTCAGCTGCATCTTGAAACTTTAACCGGACTTCTGCCGTGAGCTGGACAAAGGTAGAGAAAGTTGACTGGGAAAGGATGCTGTCTAGGATATCGCAAAGGAGAAGCTCCTCTGGTTTGGTCCAGTAACGCATTGTAATAAGAGAGGGCGGTGACAGGTTAAGATCCGAACTAGAAGTGATGTAAGAGAGGGTGATCTATGAAGAAGGCTCGGGCCAACTAGAGAAAGACGCGGCTAAGGAGTGAGATAGAACCAGGGAACGAGGTGGAAGTGAGGTGGAAGTGAGGTGGAAATAAGATGGAAGAGAAGTTGTTTCTATCTGAGAACCAGATGTCTCCTTACTGACTTCACAGGTTCTGTTCATCTTCCCCATTGCCATTCACTGTCTCATTTCAGCAATTCACTCGCTTGTATCTCCTCCACGGTGCTACACACTCGGGACTGTGCATCTGCCTCTTGCTTAAACGATCGAAATGTTTGTGTGGAACACGCTCCCACCAGCAGACAAAGAAAGACAACCCTAGGCCTCAGCTTCCGGGGAAGCATCTTCGGGATTCACTTGGCTGGTCAGGCTCCTGCGCGCCCAAGGTGACTTCACACGTCTACGCCGCACTCATCTGCCTTCTTTCTCAATACTCACCTCTCTTACTTCTGGGTTGTCGGCGAGAACTCTGCATATTGAACACCATTCGAGGCCTAGAAAGTGCGAGATTCGCGACTACTGTTCCTTCCCTTCTCGTCTACCCACAGCACTCAAAATATACGCAAAACTCTCAGCCAACCCTCACATCCAGTTCAACCACATGCCCAAGGTCCAACATTCCAGCCTGCAATAATTGCTTCATTTCTTATGTGAGTTCCCTTTGATGAAATTACTCAGTTAGATTGAAGTTCAGCTACCAACCACCCCCAGACGCGCTGTTCCAGGACAAATTCAACATCCTCCAGCCCATACGCTCAGGGTAGAAACAAGGGATTGACGTGTGAACCTTGCTCTCCCCTTCCCATATGGCCGGAGGTCGCGTCCAGCGAAATCGGTTCAGGCTACCACCGAGGTCCAGCAGAGAGAACAGATATCTGTCTCCAGAGCTTGGGACGTCCCCGGAGCTCGAGATTCTGTTTCATAATGACCAACGTCAACCGGTCCTTCAATTTCTTCGCGAAGTTCACATCGCACTAGACACCGGCACCGAACGTACGAAGGCATCGTTTCTCCTCCGATACGACAATAAGACCAACTCCGGACCACCAGCGGACGCACCGACAACTGTCCAGTGGCAAAACTATGAAAGCTCCGTTCCAAGTCAAGTCGCTTTCAAGGACGAAGGGCGAATGATATGGGGAGACGAGGTCGAGCAGGAGCTTAGGACCGAAGGAATCAAGCAGTCGCAGGTCATTAGGCACCTAAAAGCTTCTCTGTTCGACGCACAAATCCATTCCCAACGGCCACCTCAGCCAGAACTCTCACGAAGTCTCCCCAAAATGAGAAAAATCGAGCTCATGAATAGCTTACAATCCTGCGGCGAGGATGCTGACGACTACCAACTGGAAAACCTGTCACTTTACTCCGACTATATGGGGCACGTCTATCGCTATGTCCTTTATTTCATTGCCAAGACCCATGGTAGCCTTGGTTGGCCCGTTCGCGACAACCGCGACCTCTACAAAGCTTGGAATCCACCGGGAAACGTGCAGATTCGCGTTGCGTTGCCATTACCGGTAGGATCAACTCCCAGACAGGTGCAATTGGTGGTAGCGGCGGCGAAATCGGCGGGTATACCCAACCCTTACCCAGTGGCCGAGCCTGCGTCGGCCTTAATTCATCATCTCTTCAAATCACGCGCCGATGGCCAGTCAATCATTGGGAAGAGATATCTGATTTCTGACGTTGGCGCTGGTTCTGCGGATCATCAAGTTTGGGAAGTGGTCGAGCAACAACCCCTACAACTACGGGAGATTGGCATTCCTGAGGAAGCTAAAACAGCCTGGTGCGGTGGAGCCTTTGTCAACCAAATAGCTACTCAACAGATCATGAGGGATATCCGCGACATCGACCGAGTACTAAGAGCTACACAGAGGAGCAATGGACCAAGTGACCGACAGTCGCTTGAACTCAAGATCGCTAAGAAGTTCGAGAAGGAGAAGCTACGATTCGAAGGAAGAGAAACTATCTACCTCCGGATTAAAGGCCTCCCAGACATACCAGAATTTAGGCTCCGCGGCGGAAACAAGGTGATCCTCCAGCCTGAAGATGTCAAGAACGCCTTTGCGCCTTGTCTTGGGAGAATTGTCTTAATGCTTGATACCGCCATCAAAAGTCTCGAAAGGCAAACCTCACGAGGGACGGTACAAGGTATTGACGAGATTATTGTGGTGGGAGGCGTCAGCCAAAACCGATACTTTCTCGACCAAATTCGCAACCGATATTCCGGCGGTCTAAGAAGTCTATTCCGCTACACGATCCCAGTTACTCTTCCTCCTGAGGCCGCGTCAGGGTCTCTCACGGTTGCGCATGGGGCCGTGCTGCTATCAGCGGAAAGAGATCTTATCAAAGAAAGATACATACGCAGAAGCTTCTGTGTGGGACGGCATGAAGAGGTTGACAGGCGCATGTACCCGGCGGAGAGCTGGTACACAAGTCCCCAGGATGGTCAGGTTCGGGTCAACGTCACCCGTTTCCTCTTCCGACAAGGTTTCCATCCTCAGCGGTTCTCCTCTGCCCCTTTTCAGGGCTGGCGGGGCCTTATCCCCGATGACATGGAGGATGGAAGTTGGCTGATCCAAGAGCAGCTATACTACTCAGATACCCTTTCTCAGGACGGCCTGTGGATAGAAGACCCGACCATCGACGTTCACGCCATGCCGGCGCCCCTCTCCTTCCGTATCTCATCGGAAGAAGCTCGACTATTTCCTCGCGAGCGGGGACCATCTAATGTCGAGTGGTTCTACCTCGAGTATGAGTTGATCCTGTCTCTGGACGGACATATCATGACGTTCAACTTCACGATCCCCAAGAAAGGGCGGTTCCCTAAACGTGGTGACCGCTACGCAAATGTTATGCGTAAAACGGGTCGTTATGACACTGCGGGAGTCTCTAAGCTATTCAACTCTGCTTAGAAACGAACAATCCGGTCGGGCTTTTCGGCAAGACACAACATAACAACATCCACGTTTAAGCGGAAGGGCTGGACTTGGCTCTGGGCTTAGGGCGGCACATACAGCTGATGAAACTCCTTCCTCCGATCCTCTTCAGTTTCCTTACAAGCACGGCGGAATCAATCAAGCTTGCTCCCTACAGCCAAACCGGGCCGTTTAAAGGACAACTGGGAGCTTTTGCGGACCTTTGTCCCATATGCATTGCTTTGATAGAAATTTTGTTACAATAAATAGTTGGGGACGTCTGTCTAGGACATGAAGTCTACCAGTGGATAGGACATTCTCCATCGAGCGCTGGAGGACGGCGACAAGTGGCAGTTGCTTCAAACATTCCCTCACTCACTCCTTCATGCCTATTACCTCTTTGGAGAAACGTCTCCCAGATGTGGACCGACATATTCCTGCGCTTTTGGGTAAGGCCTGCCGACTGTCGATGGAATGCCAAGACGAGGAGCAGCAGCATTGAAGGATAGATGAGTTTGAGACAATGAAACACGATGAAGATGATGCTGGCATATGTTCTAGGGTGTTCAAAACACATTTTAAGGGTATTCTCGCTCTGAATTTTCCATCTCGTTATTTTCTCGTAGCCTCGTTCTCCTGCTCACTGCAGTTGCCTGCATGGTGTGCATGGCCCGCCTCCGCCTCCAGGCTTCGGATTACGAGAGGAGAGAAGGTCCCCCAATTCCCAGACGTAGTGCGCAGTCTTTGCAGAGAGGAGGGGATTCTCCCTTGTCACGAACTAGGGTACCGAGAGTGTGTGAGTGGGCAAGCCGAGAAGGCTTAGAGAAGTAGAAGAAAGAGAAGGCCAGGGGAAGTGAAGGACTATCCCTCACCTGTCGCCTTTCTCGTTCTTCCCAAGGAAAATCAAGTAAAGATTGACCTCGAGCCCTCGAGCTAGAGTCGCGCACGCACCTGAAGGACAGCGATACACGCTCGATTCAAGCCCGACGCTTGGGGATCACGCTGACGATTCAATGGCTGGTGGTGAAGGTTCCGTCTTGTGGCACGTGAAGGTTAGACGTGTCGCCTCCGGAAGCCTCCATATCGTCGTTGCGCTCCTTGAACCCTTGATTGAAGAAACATCCGGGTGTCTACAGTGGCAACATCTTTGACGATAGGATGCACGCCGTGATCCGTTGTTCGGAGCGAACCTTGGCGAACGACCGCGACTGATAGTTTACACCTTCCACTCTGTCATCGATTTCGACATGAGTGTCGTTGAAAGACGGGATAATGAAATGGCCAGGGGGCTCTAGGTGCGTGACAGGTATGCGAGCATCAGGTTGGTTGATCAATGATCATTCCGGGCCCCCCATCGGGTAAGAAATCGAGGCTGGTCGGAATCTTTCTAGGTATGTGCCGGAGCACAATGTCAAGCAATATAGACATATGATAGAGCATTTGCCCTTGAGCCTTGGAGGCGGTTCTGGTGTACATATTACATTTTTGCGCGCAGGTTAGCCACAGAACCACAAACAAACAAACAAACAAACAACAACTCTCTCCCTCTCTCTGCTCTTCTCTTCTCTTTTTTCTTTCTTTCTGGCGATCTATCCGCCTCCACCGCGCACAACTATCTACCTAGTAGGCCGATTCTTCCGTGTTGAGCATTCCCACCATTAAACCTTCACAGGATGCTTTAACAGCATCATCAAGGTGGCATTAAATCTCTTTCGCCATGCTTTTGCATCGCCGTAAACGGGGCGAATTTGGAATTCATCTTCGCCTGGGCACGAAGGCATCGTACAGCAAATTCCCGCTTTTCACGGAATGCCTCCTGCATAAGCGCTTGACTACTATGACAGAGCATATTCGAAGGCAAAGACGCAGACTTTATGCTCAAGCGATTTGATTGGCTGCACCGCAAGGCTAACCGGGAATGGTTAGCGGCTGCACAAGATGGAAAGTCCAGAGGATCAAGTGCGTGAATCAGCGAAGGAAGCCTCTACTACTCGGTACAACGGGGTTTTTCTCAACCCCCTGTTTACAGGAAGGACGCCCGTCATATGAGGTCGAATACGAGGGCAGACTTGCTGCTAGATGGCATCGTGATGGTCCTTCGAGCCAGTTTCTGCACGAGCCAGGGAATTCACGAGTTGGCTCCGAGGGGAGACAACCAAGTGTTGTTGGAGTGGAAAGTACAATGTCAGCGACGTGCTCCAATTTTCCAACTTGGCTGGATAGCGACGAATCATCGGTCGTGTCTTCTTCTTTGCTTGCCTGGAGCTCCTGGACGTTCATTTCCGCCTCTCTTCGCGCGCCCTCGAGGCCTTTGTAATCTTCATTATCGATTCGAATTCACAGATCGCTCGACCATGGCCCGGAGCCTTTCGGGGATATGGGTCTTTGATTGCCTTATACCGGCTATTTGCTCACCAAGGTTTGTGTCCAACACCTCAGTTTCGGCCCAGGTTCCTGCTCCTCCCTCGTCTCTGCCAGCCACTGGCACGAGAAATAATGTCACGGGCGTCAGGGTCGGTATCGTGTACAGAGTGTACGGAGGTTTTCAGTAAAGCCGTCTGATGCCATATCTGGAGTCCCTCTTTCGTCTCCCAGCTGTGCAGGGCGTTGCCCTGGATAGACCTCACAAATTCCCCGGGGGTTGGCTCGTTGCTCGGTTATCCTACAAAGCCCCTTGTCTTCAACTCAAAGTGAAGGTCCACTGGAAATAGTCTCAATTTCAAATTCGAATGTGTCGCAGGGTTCCCAAGCATGGACGGCACCGCGTGAAGTCAAGTCCAATTGTTGACAGCTGACAAAGGTATGACGTCTAGCTATATACTTGATTTAGCGAGCTAAAGCCAATGATAATAAACCACGACGATGGCGACGGCGGCAAGGAAGTCTACCTGGTTGGGAGATGATCTCGATCCTCATCTCCTTCTTCGTTTTCTTCTGGCCCTTCCTAAAACCGCTCCGCCTTTAAAGCCTACGCTGTATTTCCATTCCCGTCACTCTTCACCCTCTCAAGCCGCAGCATGTTCTCGCGCATCTCACCCTCGCTGGGCAAGTTGACCACGATCAAATAGAGTATGTCTTTGTGCAAGACGCGTCGGATCAGCCCTTTGTTCCTCCTCGGCAGTCTGCCCATCTCCGCGTTCCGGACGTCCGTCTCGCTCAATTCGTACCCTCTCCTCCTCGCCTGCCGCTTGGCCCTGCGACCCCTCCGCTTAGCCTTCGGGTCGAAGTGGCCGCCCGTCAGCAGCCCGAGGATGGTGCCCGAGTTGGCCGGGTGGTTGGGGTCCGAGAATCGCGAAGCAAATTTCTTTTCTGGCGGAGGCATCACCAGTCTGCTGTCCGGGTGCATTCCCGCGTAGGACGCCTGTGCGCGGCGATCGAGATAGCTCGCGAGGAAGCCGGAGGAGGAATGCAGCTTGTCCTTCGCGCTTTGGGGGAGGACGCTTTGGGTGGCGCCCGAGGTCCCTCCTGCACTGTCGAGCGCTGCTTGAGCGGCGGCATCGAGGGCCGGATAGATCAATGGCGCGGATTCGGGGAGGGAGAGCTCGCCCCGGCTGACGCCCGAGGAGAGGCGAATCTTAGCGAGCTTTTGCTTAAGTTCCGAGTCGGGGATTGAGGTCGCTTTGACAAGTGCTTGATCAGTTGAGTTGAGGCCCGTGTTCATCAGGTTCATGCCGAGAATCGGGTCATGTGGGTTGTCGGGCTTGAAGGTCATGATCATGCAGTACAGACCGCGGGGTTTGAAGAGTGATTCGTTAATTTGATCGAGGTACGTATTGCGGCGGTAGCGGGACTGGATCTCTTTGCCTGTTTCGCTGGCGACCTGGATCGCGATTGTGACGGCCATGGCGATCGGGTTAGGCACCATTCCCACGGCGAAGCAGGCCACGTTGATGACATCGAAGATGGGGCTGGCTTTCGAGGCTCTGTCCAGGTCGTTGATGAAATCGATAAAGGTATTTTGATCTATGCCAGCACACTCGCCCAGCAGAGGCGCATATGCCCGAACGAATCCCCGCGATTTGTCCTTAGGTCGACGCTGAGGAAGAATAACTGGACATGGGAGCGGTTTGAAGGTCTGAGCGGGGCTTGGCGCGATCTTGTGCTCGTGCAAAAAAGCCCTCGCAACTTCTTCGTCCGATGCAGGGCTTGTAGCCGCTGCTTGCTCGTATGTAGGAGGTGGTTGGTTTAGCTCCTCGGCTGCCTCATCGAGGGCCCATTCCGCCCTGTCGGTGTCCAAGTCGGAACTGCTCACGCTTGAGGAATCGTCATCGTCATCGTCATCGTCATCGTCAGCGCCCTCGTCATCCTTGGTATGAGATTTCTTCTCCTCAGAATGGCTGGTGTGTGCACCGGGGTGAGTCCTCGACCTAGAGCTTTCACCTGCCTCACTTTCGCCTAGAGGGTTAGGTGAAATCCCACGCTCTCTCGCGGCCTTCTTTTCTTTGTGGTCGGCAATGGCTTCCGATGCTGCTCCGATTCCTGCGCCGATGCCTTTCACAAGCCTGCTGATGATAGGCATAACTGCGAGACCGAGGGGTGAGTGCGGGGCTCACTTCGAGATTGGAATATAATAACTTGCTCTGAAGCGACGCAAGATTAGGGGTGTTCTGGAATGCTTCACAGAGTATATGGTGCTCCACTGCCGAAGTGTCCTTTGAGTTTGGGATCTCTGAGATTATGTAGGTATATATCTACCCCAAACCGATACGTAGCTGAACAGAAGTCCATAGGCAGCGACGAAATCCGTGCCATTCGAGGTTAGGAGCGCGAAAAGATTGAAGCTTGGGGCTTTCAACACTGCCTCCCGTCCCCAATTAGCACGCTTCGCGAAATGGTCCACGACGGGTAAGTCCAATCGGCGCAAGCATTGGCAACCGGGGGCAAGAAAAGCTTAGCACGAGGCTAATTAGTAATGGCGGTGTAAGCCCTAACGGGCGGGACTGGGAGCAGACAGGAGTAGATAGGAGGCCTAGTGCCAGCTCTGCCTACCGATTGCC